GTGCTCCTCAGATGAACTAGCTGAACACATTCCCAGAGCTGAACAGGCAGGAGGCCTTTAGAGTGGGGAACAGCACATAAGCCTCAGGAAGGAAAGAGGGCATGGAAGAAGGGAAGGAACACTGTGCCAGGCACGACACGTTGGCATAACATGAGACACAAAAATGCTCCTGTACAATGTACAGTAATTTTAATTACTTTGCTCTGTTCATTGTCATGAAGAGAACCCAAATCTGCAAACATTGAATAAAGTGTTGCAATTTTCCAGTAGAGGTTGCTATAAGGCATAAATTTCTGGGCACTAAAACTGATAAACTTTTATTTTGGCAGCTGCAAAACTGGTATTACTCAAGGTATTTATCAGTTTTATATACTTCTGCTTATCCCAGACAAGAATACTTTTTTTTCATAATGCTGGCATTCTGTTTCTTGCTCAGAGACCAATAATTCTGGTGAAGTTCATGACAGTAGGCCCTGGATATGTTCCCTCTCTAATGGAAAAAGAGACAGCTTTTGTTTTCTTCTTTCTGGTATTTCCTGTGCATCTGAAAATTTTCTACTTTCATTACAGATGAAGGAAGAAAATACAACTCCTTCAGTATTTTTAACTTCAGAACTTTACAGGGACAACACACTCTGAAAATGAGAAACAGAAAGTATTTCATTTCTTCTCTGTCCCATTTTCATTGATTTGTTCAATATTTAATATTATAGAAATATCTTTGTAGTGACTTAGAAGGTAACTCAAGGCTGGTTAAAGAGGACAAGTTATTAGGGCAGTATTGCTTTCTGAAACTCAGAGATCAATGGTTGTCTCAAAGTAAGCACCCAGAAATGTCATGTTCTTAAAACTTTAGGAACTCTTGAAAATCCAGTGAGTAGCTTCCATCAGCCCAGGAAGTAATAAATATGAGCTTCACAAATAAAAAGTACAGTTGTAATGAATAAAAACCTCAAGACATCCTGGACTGCCTATAGACGAATGGGGGAGTCAAACTCCACACAAAACTGCTCTTTACAGACCATCCAGAAACAAACAGGAGTGCTCAAGGATGAAGAAATTCATAACCACAAAGCTGACACATAAATGAAACTGAGACCAGTGCTTGTGTGACAGCTCAATACAGTCTTGCTGCATTTCCTAATCAAAAAGCAAATCTGTGACTACTAGGGCTTTCTAAATCTCCAAGGTTAGCAAACAGATTTGGTCACTCAAAGCTGGAGCAAAAATGCAACCTCATTAAATTTGGTGGAAAAAACATAGTTGATCATAAAAGAGAATTTCATAATCACTCTCAGAGGTGTAACTGTCACAGTTAGCTCAAAGACTGCACGAAATATCAAAAACAAAAAGGTGGAAACACATTAAACATTAATCAATGAAAACACAACTGAGCATTATTTTTCAGATGCCAAGAGTGTATCAGCACAAAAAAAATCACAAAAATGTATTCTATTCTATTCTTTCTATTCACTGTTTTATTCTATTCTATTAGCTGAGTGTCATCTAAGAAATATTCAGATCTGGAGAAGCATTCAAGAGAATTTCTTTTAATCCTCAAGTCCTTTTTCAGAACATGGAAGTGATCAGTAAGCATTCTTTAACTAGTTGGTCAAGGCAAAACTATGAGGCCTTCTGCAGGATACTGAAGGTAATAAACCCTGTATTAGAAGATGTGTTTTCTTGATGGCTATAAGCTATATAAGGTATGATCTTTTTTACTTTGAACACCAAAAATACAACTATCTTCATATCAGTAGATTCAATGGTACATCAAAAATAAAATTATACATGAGGTGTTCATTCTCATTTAAAAACTAACATGAAAACGACTTCTATTCTCACAGTGCAACATCTTCCCAAGTTTTTTTCTAATTCATAGCTGTGATCTGAGCTGCAGTCAAAAAATGCCAATACGTTATTTCATTTCTTAACAGCAAGGGACAACCTCAAGGATTATGTGCCTTCTTACTGTGTTTTCCACAGAAGAATATATTTTGAAACCTGCTAAAAAGAATTATTGCCTTTAAAATCTAGAGATTGATCAATTTATCACTAATATATATTTTTTAATTTTTTTTACTACAAAGAAGGGAACAAAGATCAACTGCTTGTGTTGTTTTTGAAACCCTTTGTGTCTGGCCAAATCAGTTATTTTCCCTGTATCTTCTTCTAAGTCTCTCTGTGCAGTCAGTACTAGAGAATTCAACAGCACTAGAGAATTCACCGCAAAAGCAAAAAATTAAGGACAACACTATTACGTCCTTTCCTTTGCTCCATTTTTGCCCACTATTGCACAAAGATTTCAGCAGAGATGCATTACTACAATATTTAGCCTCCATCAATCAGTAACATGGGGTATTTTTTCAGTTTGGCTATCCATGCTATCAGAAACGCAAAGCACCTGCTCTCTGAGCAGGGGGCTTGTGGAACAAAGACTGTCTTCATTCAGCTCCTCTCTGCAAATAGGGAATCACAAAATCACAGTCACAGAAGTTGCAAGTTTCAAAGGGATCCCAGTGGGTCATGTGGTCCAACCTCCCTGCTCAAACAGGGCATTCTAGAGCGTATGGCACAGAATTGTATCCAGATGTTCCTTGAATATGTCCAGTGAGGGAGACTCCACACCCTGTCTAGGAAATCTGTTCCAGTGCTCAGTCATTCACAAGAAGCTCTTCCTCATATTCAGATGGAACTTCCTGTACAGCAGTTTTTGCCCATTACCTCTTGTCCTGTTGCTTGACACCACTGAGAAGAGCTTGGAAACATCCCCTTGGCACCCTCCCTTCAGGTACTTATGGAGTTTGATGAGTTCCCCTCTCAGTCCTCTCTTCTCAAGGCTGAACATGTTCAACTCCCTCAGCCCATGAAGGGCTCCATACTGATGGCAAGCAAGCAGCAGCCCTTTCCCACCTGCTTGTTGGTATCCTCAGCTTTTGCCAAAATGAAAGGAAATGTGTATGCAATTAAAATTCTGCTTTCAAACAATTTCTTTCTTTCAAACTGCCAGACTATGTAAACTGCTCAATTGTATATGAAATATTCAGGAACTGAAATTTGTTTGTATTTGCATTGAATCTGTATTTTTCCAGGATTTCTTTGTCTCGTCTTTCCAACAGGTTTCCCAGAAGTGTCATCAGTAGCCCCTACCGCCCCCTTAGAGCCATATCCCTGAGAATTCCTGGAAATAAGTTTTCTTCTTTGTTGGCATCAAACAGGAAACACTCAATAAGCTGCCCAAACATCGAAAGTATTTTCTTCATATTCTGGATAGCCCAGTGAAAGTTCTTTTTCTTCAAAATGTAGTCAGAATTCTGACACATGTCAAACGAGTGAAAGAAGTGTTACCCAGCTTTGGGGATTATGGGGATTTTTAAATGAAATATAAATGCTTGTCAGCACTTATCTCAAGTACACAGATGGTCACAACTCATACTTTGCAATTCTGTAGGGAGCACACAACCTAGAGCTTACATCTACCCTACAGATCTGTGAGAAGAATTTTGTCATTAAAAATGTATAAGCACAGGTTTCATTGAATGTTTAAATATTTCAGGCCACCAGATAATCAAATAGTGGCATCTCTATTAGGATTGATATCAATAAAGAACACAAAAAAATACAAGGCATTCTTGGCAGGCATTTGGTGTATTTTGTGAAGAAATAAAAAGTAATTTAAAATATATGCTTTAAAAAAAGATAAAATTTTCTGTTTAAAGGACAGAAAGGAATCTTTTAAATGAAGACATGGGCGTCTAGTTAAATTTGTCATAGAGACAATGCCAGAAACAGACAGATGTGAGATCAATGAAAGTTGTTATTATTTTCAAAAACAATTCTGATAAACCTTTTAATCACTTCTCAATTTCTACTTTTTCTTTTTCTGCCTGACACATGCCTTTCTTTATTGTACATGAAACTGCAAAACATGTTTTTGATACTCAACTCTGAACACTTAGAAAAAAAGCATAAAGGATTAATAGCTTTGATTCTCCTTCCTCAGTTTGACCCAGAATTTGTCTCTCGCAATCTAAAAGACATGTGTATGCAATCAGGATCACTCTTTGAAATATCATTTGTTTGTATTTCATTTCTCTGATAACGAGTCAGGCAATCTAAGGAGTTGTGCAATTTCCATTTGTGGACACTAAAATTTGCCATGCAGCTTCCAGTGCAGATTCAGTGATCAGGAAGCCAGCCTGCACATCTAGCTTCACTTCTGTGAGTGACAGATGTCTTGCATGATGAGAAACACAGCTCCAGCTTTCCCAGTTATGTCAAAAGGCTTTGCTCCAGGTCCTATGGCAAAAGCCATTTCTACTGATCAGGAGGACAGTGGAGATGCCATGGAAAAGAAGGATCACCACAATCCACTCTTTCCTCCTCAGTTAGCAAGTAACTCCCCTGGCTCACTGTTGTTCTGTCCCAAATCACTATTACCACCCTCTGCAGGTAAAGCTCCCGCACAGCCACCAGAGCTGGTGTGAACAAAGATGAGCTCCCGAGGAGGGAGGAGCCATCTCTCCTACAGTCCCTGAAGGATGGAACTTGGCAGACACCACACCCTGCTTCCTCAAGCAAGCTGTTTGCTGGTGCCAGCACTGCCACAAAGCTCGCAGCACACCTGCACTTAGAGCCTGTGTAACCCTCGGCACTCCCTGCAGTTCGAGTAGTTCCTCAGGTGGAAAGTCTCTCTCCCTGCAGCAGCCGTGGTCCAGAAATCCCCCAAAAGACAGAAATTAATCCTCACAGTCAATCTCATTTTCCTCGCCAAAAGCCTTGCTGACTGAATTTCCTAAAAGTTATTCATACCTCAGACAGAGAAGGCATCTCCTGCTTTCATCCCACCATGTCTAGCCACCACAGCCCAAATACCTATTAGACTATTCCCATTCTAATTGATTTTTGATACCCAGAATTTCCAGATTGAGTAAATAACATTAATACAATACAAATATATCAGTCTCACAATGCCTTTCAAAAAACAAATAGACACATACATTTTCAGTAGTTTTATTGAAAAATGCCTCTTTCATTTCAGAAATAAATAATATAAGGCAGTGAAATTCACAATTTGCAGTTAAAATATAAAAGCAGCAATTCTATATCCATAGTCTTGCAAACAATTTCCAACTGCTTTTGGTAACTAAGAAACATTGTATTCTGAAAAAAAAATCCATACTAAATATACAACATAAACATGCAATTCCATCTCTGCAGGATTGACTGCAATTTGGCATAAATGTAACTGTGTCTACAAACAAGGAGATTTCAGGCATTATTAAACTGTATCCAGTTGATACAATGACTTCAGCTACTTAATGTTTGTGGTGTTTAGAGGAGATGTATAAGAGCAGTATATGCTCTGCAGCTTGTAACTCAGAATAGAAGAAAATTACAATGATACTGGAAGGAGAGGGAAAATTTTGGTTCTTTTTAACTAGATATTGCAGACCTGTGATCTGATTGAACTGAAAACATGCATTTGAAAAAGAAGAAAAATGTAGAGCTAAAGCAGTCCTTAAAAAATTTGCAACAGCTCTGTGGTAATTTTTGTTTTGGTTTTTTGGTTTTCTTTTTTTTTAATGTAATTGTTTTTACATTATTTTAATGAAAAGACAGCACTGGGATAACTGAATGCACACCTTAATCTGTATGCAACCACTATAAGCAACAGTATTTTACAAGCATTTCCAGAGCAACATGAAGTGTTTGGGTACACACATTGCTATCCCCACATAAGCGAGATACAAAACAGGGGTGCGTCTGACATGAGAAGACCAGAAAAGCCATATTGCAAAAGGAATGATGCACTCTCCTGTGTGTATCTGCAAATGCAAGCACAGCAAAAAAAAAAAAAAAAAAAAAAAAAAAAAAAAAAAAAACAAAAAAAAAAAAAAAAAAACAAAACCAAAAAAACCTCACCAACCAAAAAAAAACCAAAACAAGACACACAGATCTTTTACGGTTTTGTTTTTGCATTTCTTGACAGTGACCTTTTCCAGCGCATGTGCTCAGGGTATTCTGGTGAATGCATTTCAACTCCATAGTCCTCATACTCGTCCTCTCTCCTTTCTGACTCCATAGGTACTATAAAGGGTTCACCTTCAGGCTGATAGGGTCCACTTTCAGGCACGTATGGTTCTGGTTGAAAATAGTTGTCCGATTGAACATAATAGTTATCGCATGTCTTTGAATCCACATATGCTATGAAAGTTAGTCTGTCTACGTAATGTTAGTTCAACCTTATTTTCATATAATAAATATATAAATAATTAGTTCACTGGGGGTATTTCTCAGTTTTGCTCATGAATGCCTTTTTGGCAGCAAAATAATAAAAGGTTTTATATTCATCTTTAAAGGCTTTGTATTTATAATACACAAAACAGTGCAGAAAGAGTCATAAATTAGGCAAGGGACAGATCATGGTAAAACTATTTTAAAAAATCAAACAAAACCAAGAAAAATCAAATAAAATTACTATTTTACAGCTACTTCAGTAAATCTAAGCATTGGGCTTTATTTTAAACTGCATAATTAAAAGAAGACATGGAGAAGGTAAAATGAAGAGATGGGTTTGGTGTATGCTAATTTTCTCTGAGAATGGGAAAGTAAGTGTAGACATAACTATCACCAGCGGCAATATACAGTACATGTCATTTTGTCGTGCTGTTCCTCGTAACAAACCGAGTTACAGCTGGTGCTTCAGGAACACCAAAAACTACAGCAAAACAGAAGAAAAATTATTATAAAACTTTGGTATTTATAACTGCAGTTACAGATCCAACAAGATTACACATAAAAAAGGTATATGCCCCAATTCAGACATGTTGGTAACAAGCAACAGACAGGTAGGTTTCATAAGTTGTCAAAGATGTTATTCTGGCATACAGCAAGCAGCAGCAGGCTTTTATGCAAAAGTATCACGTAGAGTTGTTAACAGATTTTAGTGGATACAGTCACATACAAATCATCTACAAGCCACAATTAGTTTACTATTTACATAAGTTATTTCTCATTTTCCAGGTTAAATCTGTCTCTCTTCTAATGGCATTACCTTCGCTGGTTAGTAGTTTTACAAGCCTCCTTCGCCACTGAGGTTTTTGGTGGTCTAGGTCTTTTTTTAAAAAGAAAGACTGTCTATTTTATTATTGAAATGCAATAGGCTTAATGAATTGACGTCACTGTCCTTTATCTCATTCATGAGTTGTGTTAGTAAAAGTAACTCCCCGTTCTATGAGGTCAACATGGTTCAAGAACCATATCCGTGGTGAAATATCCATACGGACTCATTTTCTAATAAGCACGTGCGCAAACATCTCAGAAACAGGATTTTCATGTATTCAAACTGTAAGCAGCACTGGCGACTTAGAAAATGTGTTAGCCGAAACCTGAAACAGGTCAAAGATGATGTTAGTCTTTTAAAAAGTTCATCTGATGTGCAAAAACATACTTTCATCCAACTAAATACATTAACAGTTAAGTCTTAGGCATATATTTATATATGTATACATAGCTGCTTGCTAGAAAGAACACTGCTGAATCACACGCACAATTTTCTTTATTTTTCATTTAAATAAGAATTTTTTGTGAGATCCACAAAATGCACAACCACCTGGCTCTTTAACCAGTATCACTGAATCTGCAATTGTGTACATATATATATATATATTTTTTCTTTCCTTCTTCTTTTCATGGATACATGCACAATTACACTAACAGCAAACCACATCCAATAGTAGTATCACATACACTAATTTTGAGATCTAGCAAGGCATACATATTAATTTGTTAACAATACTGTGGTCCTGCAGGATCCCCATGTTAAAATATATTAGAATCTTTCCAGTCAAAAACTGGTGGTCACTGGACCCTTCATTTTGGTTCCGGAAGCAGCCTACTGCTTTGAGTAACGTCACAAAGTGGAAGGCTTATATGACTCAGGGCTAATCAGAGACTCCATGGCATTTAACTTAGTAGATATTGTAGGACAGTGGTGCTTTTCAGTTGTCTGCACTGTTATTAACAAATGGATTTCCCTTGTGAAAAATTTTTATTTCAGGAATCAATTTTGTATAAATCCTGACATGGCTCAAAAAGAGACACATGGAAACTGCCAACCACAGCATTCCTTTTATTTTTCAAGAGAAACATGGAGAATTCAACCTTGTTCTGAAGACGATTGGAAGGGGTGGTGACAGAGGGGGAAAAAAGAAGAGAAGAAATTGGTCACTTAAATCCTATGAGCAACACTACCAGCTAGTAACCATCTACATTAAATAAATAAAATAAAATAAAAACCAAAACAAGACTACAATATTTACACACTACTTCCTATTTAAAACAAATCATGCACAACATCAGGTAATCCTAGACCAAAGTCTAAATGGCTCCTCATATACTTGAACATTACAATGAGGCAGTCCTGCTCACTGACCCATCTCCTCCTGACTCACTGTGCTCAGAGTAGCAGGACTGTCTCATGTAAAGCAGCTCACTATGAACAGCCACACCTGTGAAGGCTATTTAAGGCAAAGTTAAGGTTAAGTTGTTCGTGACCTACCTGGGAACCCTTGGCCATTGTAAGGGATGCTAGCACACTGGGACGAATCACAATATCCTGGTGGCCCTGGGGGACCCCGAATACCCGCATTTCCAGGACGGCCTGGCGGCCCTGGTGGTCCTCGTGATCCTGTGGAGCCTGGTGGACCAGTTCTAGATTCTCCTTGTGGACCTAATTTTAGAATTGAGAGGTTGGGAGGTTGGTTTTTTTAAGAGACATCTTGATAAAACAGCTAACAACACTTCTGTCTAGACTTCACAGCCCAGGCTGTCTTTGGTGAGAAAGCACTCGCACTCTGTTGCTGTATGGGGGTCAACAGAAAGAAATACAAAAGAAATCTAAAAGTGTGACTCATCATGAGTTGCTTCCCTGTGTGTGGCTTATTTAAGTACTTATTCTTAGAAACTAATTTAGTAATGTTTGAGCCAAGTGAGAAATGTCAATGTATTCTCCAGTTAATTTCCCCTTTGTGTAAGATATGATGATCTCAAGGGAAACTACTAGATTAGACAAGCACACTGGATTTCTATTAAAATATAGGAGTACATCAATTATGCTGCCCAGTAGCCCCAGGACAGATGAGGTAATGTTGTTTTTGGAACCAGTCTTATTATGGTTAGCAGAAAAGTAAAGCTTCAAGTAACTGGGGCTACAATTTGCTGCCAGCATATTATGGTTCCTGTAATGAGTAGCCTAGTAAACTACAAGCAGAAATAAGTGATGCAGCTGATTTATGCAAAGGCATAAACAAAATTTCGTGACACAAAAACCAAACTAATAATCAAAAAATCTGTCTCTATTATCCAGTAACTCTGCATTTGGGAGTATTTTGTAGTCCAGCAAGTAAAAAAAAAAAACTATGTACTACAAAAGAAGCATCTGATAAGACTTATGAAAAATATCTGTCAAATATTTGGACAATGTATTTTAATGAAACACATTTTCACATTAACAAGCATGCCAGATGACTAAATTAAAAGATGAAGATAAGCACCTATTGGCCATGACCAAAAATCTTTCTAAATTCCTACTTTTGTGGTGATTTCCTACAAATTTATTAGAGTAAACTCTAATATATGTCAAAACCATGACCATGAAGTGGGCAAAGGGTGTTCATTCACCATATCAAGTCTAGTTCTCTATGAAGAAATATTTGCTTTTCTCTTACTTTTCTGTAATCTGATTAAACAAAAAATATTTACCAGGTGGTCCTGGCAAACCTCGTGGTCCTTGGGATCCAGTCCCTCTTTCACCTTTCTCTCCAGGGATTCCTACAGAATAATAAAAAGGCAATGAAAATCAAAGAAAGGAAACCACACCAACAGATATTCCTTCACATTCTCTCACTGACATTAATTTTTACTTCCCATGATTTAATACAACAGGAGTGGTTAAAATTTATGTTCTGCAGATGTTCAAATGTGAATTTGTGAAAATAATTTGCATATAAATATAGTAGCCCAAGAATAAAATAGGATGTAGATGTAACTTAGCATGAATAAACTCTCTCAAACATAGAAAAGTTTTGAAATACTGAAGCACCACAGAATCTTCTTATTTTAAATTACAATCATAAAGTTATTTTCAGTCTTGCATACTTCTGCTATAAAGGATGGTTTACACTCTCTTAGGAACAATTATAATCAAAAAAATTTAAGAAATTCTTCTTAATTCCTTGATTTATTCCTAGCCTTTTTAAAAGAGTGTATAAAATATATCCTATAAAACATAGCACCAAGTCTATGCTATAGTAGAGTAGTGGAAATAAGCAAAGGCCACAAAAGACTACACTACAGACACCCCATGTGATTGCGGTGATCCAAGATAGATGTAAAGTAGGTGTACTCATATGTTTACTTTCAGTTCAGTTGCTTCTCTCCCTCAGAATGTTGTAAGGGTGTTGATCTAATTCTTTAATGTCCTACATTTATACTTGTTAATGACTCATTTTCTCTCTTAATCAGTGTTCTGCTTTGCAAAGAGTTGTCTTACTCCAAACAGCCTTTCAAGCTGCAGCTGTATAGTGCCAGAAGAGATCTGAGAACATTTGCTTTCCTGGGATATTATGTGGAAGTCTCAGACAGCAGCCAAAATGTTATACCAATTTGTATTTCATGAAACCTGAGCAAGAGAGAGACAGGAAAGCACTCATCTAGTTAACCTTGTCCTTCAGTACACCAGTGTCCCTCAGGCAATCCAACTGGCCTAGCAGGGCTTCTTAGTCTGACATGGTAAAGGGAGCAGACTGCTCCTCTGGCAGCCTCTGCACTATGTCCAACTACAGCTGCCTTGCAGTTTATTCACCTCTTTCACCAGGTGGTCCTTGAACCCCAGGAGGTCCTGGGAATCCTGGTCTTCCTCCAGGTCCAGGTTCTCCTCTTGTCCCAGCAGCTCCCGGAGGACCAGGTGGACCTGGTGGCCCTGGCTGGTTTCGGTTTGAATAATAATCATTTGGAATTTGATTCAGCATTTGATTGAACCGGCTCATTTGACCTTCAAAAGAAAATAAAAATGTGAAATGAGTGAAAATCTTTTGTCAGAGTGGGAAGGAATAAAATATTATCTCTCTTAATTAAATCCTATTCTTGTTTCTCTTCAATAAATTAGTACAGATTATTTAGAAAGATTTAAGACGGATGTCCAATAAGAAAGCTGAACATAAATGGCAGAGGGAGGGGGTCAGGGAGGGAAGGAAAGGGAGTTTCTGGAAGCCAATGACATTAAAACAATTATCATAAAACTATTAAAATCAAAAAAGAGGCAATTTTTTTACAGTACTCTCACTCTTGCAGTTCTATTTAGAGGTTGTTTTTACTCTGAAGAACAGAAAGGATTTGCTCCACTTCTAAAACTGTAGTATCACATTTCTCTGTACTTTCAGACCTCTGCAGCTACCACAGGCAACATAAATTATTCATGTGTAGAGTTAGCAGCACAGTCAATGAAGTAATTTTCTTAAGCCTGTAGGATGCACAGGCTTGTACCTATACACCTTCTGCATATGGGGAAATTTCATTTCCAATAAAAGGATTTGTGAACAAAAGCAACACCATTTTGAAGGTGTGCAGGAAGGAAGCCTTAATGGAGAGACACATCTGATTAGTATAATGTGTCAGTCCTAGCATAACACTGAAGAAAGAGATCAGCTGAACATAAAAAAAAAAATAAGGCAGGGACGCTCTAAGAAATGTTAAAAGACCTTGGACATGATATTCATAAACCTAACACATTTACAAATGTACTTTACTTCTTCAGTGATGGCTAACCAACAGACATGTATTAGCAGCCATCACAGACATTTCAAAGGACATACAGTCCTCCTCCCTGTACACCGGCGCTCTTAAAGATCCAAAAGGTATATCTTTTCCTCAGTCAGCACTTAACCTTGTAATAGATACAATATTAAAAACCAGTTTGCCTTTGTCTTTCTTGGCAGGTCTACTGATAGCAAAATGCTGATTCAAGATCAGAGAGAAAGACTCTGTAGAGGGCAACTTCATGGGCTGCAGAGCTGCACTATGTGGCAGTAGAGGACTGAAATTAAATTTGAAGTCCTTTTCCAAATATAGTTTTTCCAAATATTGTTTCTACTTGCATAGCACCACTGATTCTGTGCAAAGTGTTTAACCAGCACTCATCTGTCTTTCCCTGCTGGCAAAGTACCTGCAGTAAGCATCCTTTTTCTCACTGATTCCCTTCTCTTGAAGGTAAGACATGTTAAATGAGAAAATATATATTGATTTTTTTGCAAAGATGAAGTAATTTTGGACCAAAATTGCAAAGGGAACCTCACCAGAATGTTAGGATTGCATGTGTATTTCCAAAGGTCACAGATTAGGTCCAACTCAGCTTATTCTGTTAATCTGTGATTATCAAAATATCCTCTGGATCTGGCAAAAATTTGCTGCTACATTTTTTCCATCAAATCATTTGCATTGGACAGCTGTCAGACTGGTCAAGCTCTTGCTCTGCTCTGTGGCCAATACCTGTCACTCCAAATTTGAACCATTGTTCTATCTTTTTAAGAAAGTAGTTAATTACTTGTATGGGATACAAAGCAAGCAACACTGTTTACCATTTATCAGTTGTTCACAAACTTGTCTCGCAACTGCTCGCATCATGTTTTGAGAAGCAATATCACCCTAAATAATCAAATCCAAAATAAGTGTTTCATTAGCACTTTGTACTTTTAAATACATAGTCTTTAATTTTAAAATTATGAGAAGAATTGGCTTTTAAGCTGACTTACTCTGTCACCTTTTTCTCCCTTCATTCCAGGTGTACCCTAAAAGAAATAAGTAAAAATTAAGCAACTGAAGGATTATGTTATTTCATCCCAATTGTAAGTTTGAGATGTGTAATTCTAGAAAAAGTTTTGACTCCTTCAAGAAGATCCGGTTCTCCTTGAACTTCTCATTTCAGAGATGCTAAAACAGGTGCCAGAAAAGAGTGGAGAAACAATGATCTTTTGTGTGTCATCAAACAGACTAATAGATGCAGAAGAAAAAGGTCTGAGGAAAAATTCAAACTAGGACAAAAAAATGGATGTATTCTGACACTTGGATCACACTGTCAATTTCAAAGCTGAATTTCTAGCATCATATTTGTGTAAATGATCAATGGTCTTGTACGAGTCATATATGACTGTTTAATTTTAAGTTTTAAGACAACTTATTACAGAAAGCATGTTAGGAAGAATAACACATGTCAGGGAAAGGTAGTTGTCCTTTTGAATCCATATAAAAAGGATTCTATATTAAGTGAAATAGAGTTATGCAGAGATGACAGATAACATGGAGACAGTGCTTATTCTATTTATAATAACAGTTTCCCTCTTAATTCTCAACTATTTCTAGTCTTTTAAATGTCTCATAGAAGTCTTAGTTTATAATTACTAACATTTGCCAACTTTTCTCTAGCAGCACTTTCCATTTGCCTTTGAATAGTTTAGTGGTTGTGGGGTTTTCAGTTTTCGAGAGTACTATGAAAGAAGCAAACCAGGAGGGCTGATTCTAATTTTGATGTATGCATGTGTACGTGAAAAATACTGGGAATAATGATAGGGCTAGCATAATTTCACATTGATTTTGATTTCTAGCCCAAATTACTACTTGAACATAAGGCATATTTCAAAGGTGAAAGATCAGTTTGGTCATCTGCTGCTCTGCATGGCTCTTCACATAGTAACACACACATCCTGGGTGTTACTGCTTTTTGCAGTGTAGTATTTCTTTAAGGAATCTATTTATCACCATTAACAAAGCAAAGGCCAAGTGTGGGCTGCAGCTGTTTCTCATAACATTCCTACAGTACCCGCAATTAATTTCAACAACACGAAACACCAAATCATTCCACTGAGGTCACAGCAGACACCTCTTGAATGTGGTGACACTCTTTCACAGACTTCTGTCGAGGGCTTGGGCAGACAAATGCCCTTGGGGTATGTCAGGGTGTGAGCTTAGTGTGGTCTCTGAGCTTCTCTGCTGCAGAGTTGCACACACCTACCCCATGACATGCCACAGAAAATATGAGACAGTTCATCCATCACCGAGTTAAGTAGTTGTCTTACGCTACATTTGCATCATGAATAACAGATCATTCTTGCAAAATTAATTGTACAGACTCAAATGAAAGATTTAGAATGGTGACACCATAAATGTGCCATTGGAATAAATTATGCCACCAATGAGGCAGCTGCTAATATGTATAAAATATACCCATGAAGTTGATGAATATCCTTTCCCTTCTGTCCTTTGCCCTCCATCTATATTTTTCTTACTCTGAAGTCCACAGGGAAATATTTGTCTTTTAGTTTTAGCTTATTACAGCCACATGCTGAAACAGAGTATGGACTTGTAAATGCCATTCCATAAATAAATGGTAACAACTAAAACCACCAGGAAAATATGGCATTTCTGTCTGTCATTCTCCAATAATTAACATTGTGGTAAATGATGATGTACTGAAACTCTAAAAAAACCTTAATTTGATTCCCAAATAAACAGCCATTAACATCTTGTTCATCAACTATTCCATGTACCTGAAACATTAATTGAACAGAACTGTAGGCTTTTAATTGCATTGGTCTATTATATGAAAATCTGAAAATCTGGGGGGGGGTGGGGGGGAGTGGTGTGGAAATGGTAAAGAAACTATTGATGCTTCTCTTTCTGTTTGAAACTTGCCAATTTTTCTATTTCCTGCAAGCATATTCTTTTGAAATTATCTGCTGTGTATGTATTTATAATACATGCTTGTTTTATTCTCATTCTTTCTATGGCTTTCATAGTAAGACCTTCTACCAGAAGCAAATCATACAGTACATCTTTTGTTCATTCACTAGGTAAGAGGAGAGAGAGGAGGCAAGGCAGGGCAAGACAAGGAAAATAGGTCCCCCAGCTAGGAAAATGCGAATGCCATGTACAGTCAATTTTAAATTTCACTAAAATAAAATGAGCCCCGTTCCTCAATTTGTGACCTTGCAAACACACACTGATTCAGCCTTGTGGCTGGAAGTCTAAAGCCTATTTGGAACTAACTTTAAAATTTGAAGATTAGAGGCTGGCTGGCCATGTTAACAATAAAGTGCATTTTCCACCTGGATGTTTTAGAAACAAATTTTCAAAAAAATAATAACCACTGAAATTACTGAGTTACTATTTGCATCTTCCTCCCTCTTGGTTATATGCCTCTTAAATTTAACTTAATTTTCTTTTAATAGAATAAAAAGTGCAGTTTAGCCTACTGCTTGACAGCATTTTGAGAAACAGCAGCTGCTGCTGGCATTCTGTTTTGTTGCTATCCTGCAGTGAGGGAGTCACTTGGGGTCAGTGCAAGGAAAAGCTGGTTTATGCTGCATGTGGGATTTTTCTGAGCTGTGGGATGAAGGCTGGGGCTGCAGCATAGTTCTACTGCTGAAGGAGGACAAAACAAAGGAAGTTTTGCTATTTTTACTTTTAAAGATAATGTGCTCAATTGTTTTTTTCCCAAAAGAATGTTTGCTTCCCTCAAGAACCACCAGCTCATTGCTCCCAAAGCAGCAATTTTTTGAGACTTCATCTAGGACATCTGCATAGATGGATGCAAGAGCAGTGAACACATGGCAGCAGAGAATACAAAATTCTGAAAACCTGCATGTAACTCACAACAGACTTGGACTACCCTCAAAAGGTTTTCACCGTTTATTTGGTCCTGGAGGCATCAGTGTAATAGCACCTTACTTATAAAATTTAAATGCCTTGCATTTAATCCCAGGAACTGCCTAAATCAACAAAGTCAGACCCTGTTGTCAGAGAGTCTGTTTTATAAACAGGACATCTCTACCTTAACACAACTTGGTCTGCCTACCCATTGTTACTGTTTTCAGTCACCTATTTTTTTTCACACCTATAAAACAAGTACTGGAACCTTTCCTCTCTAATAGTCCAACATCTTCTATTTCCCATTATATTTATTCATAGAAAACATATCCCTTTCTTCTTGAACCAATATCCTCTTCTAGTTTAATGAGTCTTACTGTTGATGGTTGTTACTTTATGATATATGTGTATGAACCACTATGGAATACTCACTCTCTGACCAGACAGACAACAGATATTTTAGTCTCCTCTAGGATAGTCTGCATACAGTTCTCAATAAATTACCAACTCATTTGTGTTCTTACAGTTCCTTTTTCAGTCATTTTGTTGCTACACTGGAAAAAACAGCTAAGTTTCTCTTGGAGGTACTTGTAAGCAGACCAAAAAGCCAAATTTCCTATTTCCATGAAAATTCAGTTAACACTTCTAGGATTTACTTGTTCTAGCATAAGTACACAGTGAGGTAGAGAAATGTTTGCAGTGTGGTCTGCCTCAGCTTAGCACATCAGTGGTATTGAATACATCAGGAAGGAGCTCCAGCTGACCACATTCACTGGGAGTAACTTCAGAACACCAAGGCTGCTCATAATTTGCAGGTAACTGAATACCTTTTACCTGGAATGCAATATCCCTTGGTTTGCAGGGGTCTTTCTCCTCACTTTCATTTAATAGTACTAGCAATACAGATTGTTGAGCTAGAAGAAAAACTGGCAGGATCTGGTGAAAAATTATTTATTCCTTGTATTTACCAAAGGCAAAGTGAAGCCTCATTATCTTTCTCTTCAGGCAGAATTATGATTCATGACAGTGCAAGTTGCATTTGGCTGTCAGGCTGCACCTTTGGCAGCTGTAAGACTGCAAACAAAGGAAGGCCTTGAAATTCTGTCCACCAGGAATCTGATAGAACATCTGTACAAGGTACAAGCCAGAATTCCTGCTGGGATCTGTTCTAGAAACATTAGAAATGGTAAATATGGTGCTCAGTGTCCCATTACAAAAAAGTCCAATAACTGTGGGGGAAAACATTTATTTGTAATTGAAAGGAACTCCTAAGAATTAGAGTGCAGGAGAATTTAGACATGGTGCTTGGACAGGAGTTGACTGTCTTGCTTTGCAAAAGCCTTTAAACACATTATTTATCTGCAGAAGATCTTTACTTCTGAACTGGATCAAGCTATCCATTGTCCTAGGTGAAGGAAAAATCAGATACACCTGACAATTTAAAGCTCCCTCGTGAACAAAGCACAGCACTTTGTGTTCCAGCTATGTCTATTCAACATGTAACGGAGCACAAATATCCCATTATCAATGTATATCTAAAAGCAGGAAAGCTTCAAGACTTTCCTAAGACGCTTCATGTCCTCTACTACAAGGAGAAATGTAATTTGTAGTCCAGCAAACACAGACTGAATTCAATGTGTGTATGAGAAAATGAACCCGCTTCTAGGTGCTCCTGAGAGGTTCCTCTTCATGGCCATCAAATTTCCCTGTCTACTACATATTCTTTCAAATTATCCAGCTTTTTTATATACAACTACACTGAGGCAGGATAGAAAATTCTAGATGACTGGCATACGTTATTCACAAGTAATGAATGACTTCTCATTTCACTTGCTGTCTCTACTCCTGAGTCAAGCATAACTTCTCAGAGATCCTATGAATGAATCAAATTAAATTTCTCCTGAAACTGTTGGTGGGAGGCAGCACCTCCTGCTCTTTCTCCCTGTTCAGGAAGCACTTTAAAAGTTTGAATAGAACTCACAGAAACCACTCCTAAATAATTGTGAAATAACATTGTAAAAATAATGAAACATTTGCAAAACAGAAATTATTATGTAATATTATCAAAGATTGTCCACCTTCAGCAGTTTATCACTTTTTTACTACACACACATGCACTAGTGTAAAGACTTTACAATCATTTTGCTGACCTAGTTTTCCATGCTTATGCAGTAGGAATGAATATATGTCTTGGCACATAATAGCCTACGATCTTTTTAGTGGAAACCAGAGACCAAAATTTCCAGCCCCAACTATTAAACTCAGCAAAATGGCATACTGTAAAAATAAAATTATTTTTAAAAGAAGACTTGTGGGTTTAGGTCAGGTCCACTGTATTAACCACCATCATAAGTGCAAGACAACTATTTCAAGCAGCAGAAGTCTCATGTTCATCAACAGACTGTAATTTTAAATTTGATATTCTAAGTGTATCATTATCTTACTGGTGTCCCACGATCTCCTGGTTTCCCTGGTTTTCCACTTGGACCAGCAACTCCTGGAACTCCGGGAGCACCCTGAAACAGAAGACAAGTAATATGAATTGTGGAAATACACAATTACCTAAGCGCTAATAAGAAATATGTTACTCTATTGAGTACAAAGCAATATTGAAAGTAGTTCCTATCAGGTTTTTTTCTGCTAGGTATTCATCAGGCTTGAAATTTTTTTATGGAATAAACAGTTTGTTTCCTCTTAGAAACATGTGTTCTTTAATGTAATGACACAGTTTAACAGACACTGTGGCACTGAAAGATGCAGATGGTGTGTATATGTTTTTGGTACCATTCTTAATGACTGATTCCTAAAGCAGTACAAAACAGTTGGGCCTTCTAAATTCACCTAGCAGGTCTGTGATCCATGTAAAAATCCACAAGAAGACCATAAGCCATTCTAGTAATACTAGATAAATAGAAAAAATTAAAAGACCAGTGTCAGATTATGTGACAAAAGCTCATCTGCACATTCACAAAGGAACATGAAGAAGACAACTGTGGGGACATGGGGCCAGCCCAAATAGTACCCTGCCTTAGAGACTGCTGTCTATATATGTAATGCAAATATGTGTTCTGTGTACATTTGCCTTCTGGAAATGCACATTCCAACTTGCTATAGGTTGGATGCGGTGTCATGGGGCTGCAGCACTTGCTTATCTCAGGCTGTATGACCCAACATAGGCTTTTCTCTATCAGCCAGCCTCTTTTCTAGCATGGTCCCACAAAACACAATGAAGCAGCTCTGTAAGCAAAAAGCAATCTTCAAATGCTCTTGTCAACAAAAAGTAATATTAGCAGTGTTTGCTTTCACCAGTGTACAAGTAATAAGCCAGTTGGTTTCAGAAGATCTAGCTATGCATTTAAAAATCATGGCTAAACTGATCTTTATAAACTGGTTCTTCCCTTATTTACCCTGGCAGAAATCAGTTTCAAAACCACTGTTATGAACATTTGTGAATATATGGTTTGCCCAGCTCTCTGCTCACCTTCTACTAAGAGTTTTTCAGACCCATTTAGGAGATGGAGCAAAGGATCCATTTCACATTTGACAGAAATTGAAAATGTCAATGTGGCCCTCTCTTGGCTCAGGTCTCTTAATTCAGAGTATATCAAAGACAAAATTATATTTACCGCTGGTCCTGGTGGACCTCTGGGACCTGTGGGACCATCTTTTCCTGTGAAACCCTATTCAAAAACAAAGGCAAGATTAGAGAAAAGTGGTCTTTACAATTATATAATTGTATATATATGATTACTATTGGCATTTCTTTTAAAACCTATCCACAGTACAAGTTATAAAATAGCTATCACAAATCATGCTGGAGAAGGCTATGGAACAATGAGCTTCAGACGCTTTAGATGTTCAGCTGCTGTTGATTAACTGAAAATGAAATCAATGTTTCTTAATATTTTTAAGAAAAGGAATCAGTATTCTATCCCAGAGGAGCAAAATCTCTCTTGTCACTGTTCTCTCATTCACTGTTTAACTGGACTATCAGAGATTTATACTTAACTGGAGAGCCAATTCCCTCTTAGATATTTCCCCTGCAAGAATGAAGGCTGAGACACCCCATTTCAGTAATCCAACATAGTATTCACAAGTGGATGTTGATGGTCCAGGACCCAGCAATCCAACAGTATCCTCTTTGGCAACGGGCTATCACACAGTCATCTATTTTCACTTCCATCTATGAATTCCCACTAAAGGACAGCTACAAATGCATGTGTCAGCTATTAATTTTGACTGTAAAGGAAAATAATTGATTCAGCCATCTTAAAGGTGATATTCCATTGCTACAACAAAAGATATTTACTTGACTCCAATTCAAAGAAAGGAATTGCAACAACTCCACAATGAAATACCTGTGTATGTGCCCTTCATTAGGAAGACATTTCAGAGTTCTCCACCTAAAGAAACTCCTGACAGCCAAAGGTTTAGGGGCAAGCCTAAACTTCACAGTAAGTTTGGCACAGACAGATTCCTTACCAATACGGCATCTCCCAGATGTTGACATAAGCAGAGTATCAAAGGGATTCCCTGTAGCAGCAACAATGTGGGGAAGACAGCAGGGCTGAGTCCCTTGGCAGAGCCCTGCCCAGGGGACATACTGCTTTAAGGGTGAAGGCAGCTGAGAACCTCATCAGGGGAGGAAGCAGGGCAATTTTTACAGAATCTATCTGGCTACCAATAGCTGTCTGGAGAGGTTTTCACCCCTGAGGTGTTTCCAACCCTTCTGCTTTTGTCTCTCCAGAAGGGATGCTGATAAAAGGATTCTTCTTGAAAAAAACATTTGAAATTTGAAAGATATATAAAGAATGGGAAAAATCTGACAAAACATAAGAATTACATGACTTGGTCTTTTCAGAACATAAACTGAGGAAACCTTACCCTTTCTCCTGGAGGTCCCACTGGTCCAGGTGGACCAGGTAAACCTGGTGTTCCCTAGAGGGAGAAAGAGTGAGAAATTGTATCCATGACAGAACAAATATCACTGCTATGTCATTCCGTATATCACAAGTATATACGTCCTTTCCTCCTTTCTGTCTAATCTCATTGTACACTAACGTGTAGCATTGCTTCCTAAAAGGGCATTACTACTCCCTAAAATTATACTACTCAGGGTTATAAAGACTAATGAAACAGATGAAGAATACAAGGCCCTTGACCCATAACTGACCTTATCTGATATATGAAACTAAGTCCACAACAACACTTAAGCATTCCTCATGTAGTCTTTTTATCATCAGTAAATTAAGGACAATATAGTAACCCAGGAATATTCACCATGCCAGGACATGTGCAGATCAATGACCTTAGATTATCTATAAATTGGGCAAATTAAAAAAGATCCTAATTTTTTCTTCTCCTTGTATAGTTTACAATACAGAAACCTGCATGTAACTGAACTTTAATATTGTTTTCTTCTTTCAGGAAGCATACAATTAATGTCCCAAGGCCATTTGAATTCCAAAAGCAGAAAGTAATTAGGCAACATTGCTAAAGAAGGGTGCAGCAAAGGCTCTGCAATCTTTATTTTAGGAAGACATTTAACTGCAAATGGTAGGAAGATGACAGACCTTCCTGGGGAATTATCAGAGTACACTTCCTAATCAACCACTGTCATTCTGCATTCACAACTGTCCAGATGGACATTTGGCTTAACCAAGCACAGTTAGTTTCTTCATGTTTGCTGTTTGAATGGTTTACTATTGCCTACATTTCAAATTTCTAAGTGCAAGATAACTGTGTTTCCAAAACTGTGGCCCAGGGAGGTATGAGAAGAGCGCATGACTCCTAGTGATGTCAAAGACAGCTGTCCAGCAGCTAAGTTGCATCAGGAATAGTGCAAAATGACATTACCTTGTCTAAGTGCCAACTTACCGATCTACCCGGGAGTCCAGGCTGGCCAGCGTCCCCTTTCATTCCTTGACGACCCTACGGTTTTCACAAATGGTTACAGAATACATCATGCTTCCAGAACACAAGGGGCAGGAGCACATAAAGAAGCAATCTGCTGCCTTTTACAACTAGCTTGCCTTCCATATATTCTACAGCACTGTAGTATAAATGCACAGTCCAAACCCACATGAGCTAAACTTGGCAATACAACATTCATTTTTTTACAGTGGCTTGCATTATCATCCAGCATAACAACTGGTACTTAGCAAAAAATTTGTAAACACAGACGGAGAACGTGGTTCACAATTGATATAAAAAACAAAAGTACATGACTCAAAAGTGCCCTAAATTCATGTTAGCTAATGAGAAATTCCACAAATGTTGGTGTTCTCATTCTTCAGACTTTTTCAAGTGAATGTGACAAATAAATGTCTTATTTGCATTACACATATAAGAGGAATGTTTTTCTTTTCTTGCTGTTTGATACCTCTATATCTTCTTTAATAAATTTTTCCTTACAGCGTTTAACTGAAAAAAGCATGAAAAGAATCTACACAGGGTAACAAAATCATTCCGTTTTGTCCTTGCAAAACAGAAGATCTTCCTGATGTCTATCTTAAAGCACATTTTGTTTTCCATTTCCCAAATTCCACTACAGATGGAGCAGGTAACCAATTTTCAAATGAAAAATGGCACAGCCTGCAATTAGACTTCACTTCTTCTTTCCATAGACTTTCTATTTTGATCAAAGACTTCATAAAAAAATCTCCTGAATATATTAAAATTCAAGTTAATCCTAAATAGGGAACATCAGAATTATATTCTTGCTTTTAGGGTGACTATTTATTGAAATATGGCAAAAGCAGCCTTAATACATTCACAAAGCAGAATTATGCATGCAATCTTCTATAAAAACCAGAACACAGTGAAACTTCATCAGTGTTAGTAAGAATTACTCTGGCTTTGAAGGCATGCGCATGAAATCAGAAATAGCATCTTGCTAAAATATGGATGCTGTTGCCAAGAAAACTCCTTGCTACTGATTTAAGCCAGATAATAGAAATTGAACATGTAAGTCTGTGAAAAAGTCTTCGAAGTAATACTGTATGCTTAATTTTCCTGTTTAATTTTCCACAGTTTGGTAGTTTTGAGTCCTTAAACTGGAATCCTAGCAACTCTACAGAAAAGCTATTAAGACTGACAACAGAGTAGCACAACTTACATTTCTGCACTCAGACTTTGGCCCTTCATTAGAATCCCATAAGCACATGTAACATTCAGGGCATAAAATGCTATTTTATTACGAGACTTGTTTCAGAAATAAGTGTGTTTCACAATGCTACTGCATTGTAGGGACAAATGAATGCTCTGGCAAAGCTGCCACCCTCTTCCCAAGGCCACCATCCCCACGGGCAGCTCTGGCTCCACACACACTGATGGCACTGCCTGCTGATGGCACTCAAAAGGGACACTCAGAAGGGCCACTCACCGGTTCACCTGGGATTGACAGTCCATTGGGACCCTGTGGACCTGGGGGACCTTGAGGACCTGGAGGACCTGTTTCACCACGAGGACCAGGAGGCCCCTTAAAGCAGAAAATTGAAACAGAATTACAATCCCGTCTGAAATCCATATCTGCAAAATCCTTTGGGTTAGACACTTAAGACAACTCAGAAGCCTGGAGAACTTAAGATAAATCAGAAGCCTGGAGACGCATTTAATACTTTGAAAGAACGGTGGAAATAGCTGTTCAAGAGGCATACTCTTTCATAAGCTATTCTCTGATTCATGTTGGCAGTCTCAGGACAATACATGCCCTCTGGCAGTGCCAGTTAGAAGTATTGCCATGTCCTCTGTACAGATGAGAGAGCAACAATGCTGTAGAGTGTGTGTTCACTCTGATGCACATAATCCCAGTATCCTGATATGTGGTCAATGCCTTTGAAGCTATATAGACTGTGGTATATAGTCTCAAATAGAGAGGCTGCACATAAGTAACATAAAGGCATATTTTCAACTAAATTTTTAATCTACATTCTTAGACTAAAACTAAGCATAAAAATTTTCATACAGGTAAGCCTGTAGTAACATCATTATAGATGCATTTTGGGAAACATACTTACAGATGATCCAGTCAAACCCCTTTCACCTCTGGGACCTTTAGCACCTGGGCCACCCTATATTAAGTATTTGGAAAGAAAATGTATTTCAGACACAGAAAGCAAAGGTGCATAATACTTATGTGCATTATAAATTCTCTTTAACAAACTCTTAAGTGAAGCCCCAAAGTTTTGAATTGTACAGATCGTACTGCTAAAAAGAGTAGTAGAATGAAATATGCATCAGGAACTCAGGGAAACTATGTCAACTTCAGCCTTGCCAATTCAGCCCATGAAAAATTATTATTTTGATTTTTGTCTCTGCAGACATAAATTTCAATTTATATTCATCAAAAACTCTGAATACCTCTCTAGTAGACTACCAGACAACTTAACTGGGGTTTTGATTCCTCATGCAGCACTTTTGATAGTTTCAAAATATGACTACTGGCCTGACTATAACTCCCTAATATTCAAAGCAATTGACAGGACTATGTCCATTCCATAAATTAATATCTCTCTCCATAAAAAATAATTTATTTCCCTGACAGAGTAAAGAATCTTTCCTTGGAGTGAAATCTTGACTCTGTATTTAGGAAAAATATTTTCTCAGTCCATTAAAAATGCCTTGTACATGATGTGAAGGGTCTGGGCCAGAGACTTTCAGCCTATCAAACAATGAGGAGCTAATCTCAGTGATCACACTGGAAATATAGGAAAAGATCATACAAACAAGTAGATGTGGTAGGAGCTGATGAAAAGGGGATGGATTACCACGTTGTTAAGGGCATATTGATAGAAACTATGCCTGTGACTGACATTTGTTTCACAAAACCACAGACCAACACAAAACTACTTCCATAAATTTAAAATCAGAAAATTTATCTATTGTGAATAGCTACAGCGGGTAACTTACAGCTGGTCCAGGAGGTCCTGGAGGTCCCACACTGTCTTGAGTACAGGTACAAGCATTTGGAAGAGCTGGGCACTTTGCTTCATCTCTCTGAAAATTCAATCACAATTATTACTGCCCTTTTAAAGAAATGTACTCAGTGGCAGCATGCTTTTCTGAAACAATAACAGGAAGATTCTTTACTATCCTGTTTCTAAGCAAAACTCACAGCTAAATTGTGGTTTCCAAATGTTTCTACAGGATCTTTTATATTTTTAGCAAATTTTGTCTGTGAGATATGCAAGGCATTAACAATAGAGGCACGAGCAAAATGTTGTTCTAGTATTTATATGCATTTGACAATCAGCTTGTGCTGACAAAGAAGAGTTACTTTTTGAAGGCCACTCCAAGAACAGATCAAATAAATAAACAAATAAATAAATAAATAAATTCCCCATTTATAATACCTAGAATTTGAAACATCACTGGAATACAAATATAACACATTTTTTTGCAATTTCTAGGGGGCACAATTCTAGCATTACAGCTTTACTGTCTCAGACACAAAACTTTGAAATAAGGCTGGCTGCTCTGACAATTGTGATTTATATGAGTTGTCAGTACACAAGGTTTAATAACAGCCTAATAAAAATATTATTAAATTTACTTCCATAACATTTTTCTGGATAGCCTCTAGTTCATTTATACTTACCATAGAAGGGAGATCACAGCATCTGTCTCTGCTAGTCCAAACTGGACTGCATACAATATCAAAATTCTGGATTTCTAACTGTAAAAGAAAGTAATACTCTTGAAAGATCATTAAGTTAGACATGTTGTAAAGTATGAAATGTATCGACTTTATCATTAAAAATCATTCCTCCGTTTATTTCTAAAGATAGCGTGTCCACAATACATGCACTCAATCACTAGCAGCTCTCTCTATTAAAAAGATAAAAAATTCCTACTCTGGTTTGAATTTACCTGAGTGCAACTTCCAGTTACTACATTTTTGTTCTCGCAATTCTGCTAGAACAAGAAGCTGAAACTTCTCAGTTAAGTACATTGGGTTTGACAGTACAGATTCCTGAAAGCTTCGGATGATGCAACAGTGGTTTCCCAACAATCCCTAATCTCTATCCTCAGAAAATGTAAAGATCTTGCAAAAATTCACATTTCTTGCTTACTGTTGCTGATCTTCGGTCGCCTTTTAGAAGTTTCCCAAGTATTTCATAGCCATCAGTTGTGATATTGCCAGCCTCCTTAATTGGTTTTTCCATTATTTCACTGCAGTCAATGTAAATCTTAACATTTGATGAAGTAACAACAATATGGACCTGAAAAAAGTTTAACAAAATATTAAGACATGGCACACAGACACAGTTACTTTAACACCTTAATAGCATTTCACTGATTCAATTGTACTATTTTAAATTTTATTCCCAGTAATCCTGATTTACTTCCAACTGGTGGAAAAATTCAAACTCAGGGAAAGTCTATGACATTTATAATCTCTTTAGAATGTGTTGAAGGTCAACAAGATGAACACACAAGTACAGCTAAGAAATACTAGTTGACTGTTATTAACTATTTTTAAAGCTTTCCTCAAAATTTTTTTAAGATGGCATAAAATTAAAAAAATAAAAACTTTTGAAAGGAAGTGAATATAAGCATTTCTTGTTCTCTTCTGATGGCTGGGACCACACAAGATGTTTATAAGCCTGGAACTGCCCACTGGCTAACAGACTCTGTAGCTCAGAGAGTGGATTGTTTCAGACCCAAAGATACAGAGTTCAGTTTCCACAGATGACTCAGCCAGAGGCATTAACTGTATTGAGGTCCAGGAAGTAACCAAAGAGCCTGCCCAGAGCAAGACAAAATAATGGAAGATGCAAAAGAAAATTTCGACAAAAGAAATCTGGTTACAGAAACATATGCCGAAAGAAGGGGAAACAGGGAACATGAAGAAAATTAATTCCAATTAATTATTGGAAATAGAAGACACTTAGGAGGGAGAAAGGAATTACTGTAATAAAGAGAGAGAGTATGTTTACCAGGAGATGAGAATGAAAAGCTTGGGGGAAAACAGTAAACCTTAAACAGAGGAACATAGAAAACCTAAGCAAAAATTAACTTTCCCAACATTTATAGTATGTATGGCAAATGTTACAAAAAGTTAATTTTCAACATTTCTCTGAAAGCACAAAAAATATTTAGGGATCTCTGAGAAGTAAACAAGGGCCTCTTTAGCACATCTAATATGCAGTTGATGGAAGAGCATCTTCAGGCAACAGAAAGTTTTCAGGGGCTTTATATACCTTGCCAACAGCACATATTTCATATACATCATTATAATATCTATGTAATTATTAAAGTATCAACACATTAAGATCAGGAGTAAAGAATCCCTGAAGTATGTATTTATTTTTTAAATCTTCTCTTATCATAGTACATAACCGTACAGAAGCATATTGTTATTTGATGACTGCTTTAAAAATTGGCATAAAGTTGAGAGATTCCCCTAAATGTCCTGAGTCAATAAGTGCCTGAACAATCTCCTGGGAATTTTTTCTTTTTTTCCCCTTTTAAATATTTTCCCATGCAGACTTGTCTCCAAAGCATCAGCACAGCTTATCTAAAATTCTTTTTTTAAATTATGTGCTTACACTTTATATCTCAGTGCTGTGTATACAAGTGGGGATTTTAATTAAAATTCCCAACCGTATTCATTGAACAAATAATAATAATGAAAAATTACTGCATCATCCAGTTTAAACACATCATAGATGTAATTTACTAGCTCTGAAAGATATCTAATATGCAAGTTCTTCTACTGGAATGTTAAGTATTTGTCACAATTTAAATAAAATAAAGCAGATTGCATAGCAAATATAGATTATTTTCATTAGCACAAAAAAACAATTTAGTAAAGGTAATTCTACATCAGAATGTTGAATGAGATCAGCTTGGAAAGGTTCAAACAGGAATAACTGCTGAGCATCACCTATCCATCCAAAGAAGAAGCAATCCCAACAATCAAAAATAAGGAGAGCTCTCCCAAGTCATTGACTCAGTCACTTAAACCCTGATTTACTGCCAGATCTGCATTCCAGCCTGAATCTCATGGCCTAGGCAATAAATCTAATTAAAGGAGGCATGTGGTGTTTACAGTAAATAACACGTCTCTGTATTTAACTCCAACACATTTTGTTTTCAACAGTTTCTAACACACCAATATAAAGAATCTGTACTGATTAGTTCTAGTTATTTCATTTATGACATTTTAGGAAAGAAAACATTGTTTAATTTTTCTCCCCAACTGCCTTATAAGATAAATTCTGATGGTGTTCTGATCTGCTGCTAAGTGAATCACATCAATAGGCCAAGCAAACTAATTTCTCATATGTATATCAGCAGAAAGATATACACTCATTATCAAATTTCCTCTTGCTAACTACTGCAAAATGGCAAGCTGAAAGGAAGTCTAGTGTGGTAAGAATAAGAAAGTAGAAGTTGTCTGTCTCTCCAAAACATCAGTTAGAAATTTAAGGACTGTCTCAGGCAGTCTGAATTTTTCCTATCAAACTCGCCAGATTCAACAGCTTTCACCATGGCTCTGCTACACAGAGTCTTCAAGTATGCCAAAGTAAATTTCCCCTCAGTTAGGTGTAGTTAACTGTATTTCAGTGAATAAGCCAGTAAGTCATCAAATGAAAGCCACAAAAATGTTTAATATTTTGGAAAACCTTTCCTTGCATTGTAAAGATTTGTCATTTCTTTGAAAGTGGATGGACGGTAGGAGAAATTGCAAATGTACCTTTAGAAATGTGTTAATCTTACTTTCCTTCCTTCATCCATCTGAAACTACGGCTATCCATTATTAGGAGCTAAACAACACAGGTGATGCATAAGGCTTTCCCAGCAGGTGGGCTGGGGGAGCCCACTATGCTATCATTAACAACCTGACTGAGACAGCAATTTTAGTAATCTTCTGGAGAGAAGCCAGAAAAGTCATCTTAGTTTCATGGTGAAAAATCCCTAATATTGCTTTAAACCAAGGCTCTTCTAGCTACTTTAAATATTATCAAAATCTGAGCTTTTGATTCCTTTCTGGGAAAAAAAAAAAAGACAGGGAATTACACATTGCATTAAGTAACTGAGAATTTTTTTTTGTAGGAAATAGTCTTTTCAGCAAGAATTCATAATTGTAAAGCTTTAAGATAATTTGCAAATCGCTGCTTCTCCTGTTCATTATTTGGCATCTTAGGATCACTTTCTCTCCATATGTATTAGTGTATTTAACTATTAAATGATACAAAATTTCGGATTTTCATTTGCCCTGTAATTTTTTTTTTTTTTTAACTATCAAGTGTAGACAATTTTACATAACTGCTACTTTCTTGCAGCTAGCACGGGTCACAGATTTTTATCCATTTGCTCTGATAAATGAGCAGAACATCACTGTAAGGGCTGTCAGATAAGTTTGCTCAGCTCTATCACATTTAGAGAAACTAAGGAAAAATGTCATTCTAAATTAGCAACAGATATTTAAAACAGACTGCTGGCAGTACAGCATGTGGAGAGCTCCACACCACTGAATGTCAAAGACAAAATAAAGGCTGCTGAATGTAGGTATGATCCAAAGCTACTCATAACTATCAGTTACAAAATCTGTGACATAAACATTTCTTCGTATAGTAAAAATACTCAGGCCTAAAATCTAAACTAACCAGGCATAAATTCTAAAACAAGAATAACTGGATATAATATAAGACCAATTTGGGAAGTTACTGCAGATATTGAGGAAACCAATAGCTTTTATAGAACTGTGTTATTTTCATAATCACCTGTGTTTTAAACAGGTGAAGTCACAAAACATTATAATGGTAGCACCAGTTATCTTTCCTGGCTATCAGTCTAGCAAAGCTCAGTTGACGATTTGGCCTCCAGTGTCTGGAAGCTGACAGAGGCAACCCCTTATCAGTATCCTCAAAGGAATGCTGATAGTGACAAGTTATGCAGAAGATGGTTTCATACAGAAAACAAATGCTATACTCAAGCCATATTTAGTCATCAGATGAAAACTAAACTAAGTAGAAGGGAGATAAATGTAAACATGAGAATGTGCATTTCAGCTAACCAAAAATGTTGCAATTTCAGCTCATTTTCTTGCCCCAAACATATATACTTAACACAGCAAGAAAATATTTTTAAACTATTTTCAGGTGCCTGAGTCAAGCACCTCCTGATGACTAGAGGTAAGGAAGCTTGGGAACATCAAATTTTCATAACTTGGTGCACAAAATTACAAAAGCAAGCACAGATCTATAACAAGTGAAGGCAGATGCAGCAATGTGTAAAGATTTCAATAGCCATTTTGTCAATTCAAAAACTGTAAGTTTCATTCTTAATTATAAAATGTGACCTTTTATGGGCTCTCTCTCCTTCTTATTGCTTCCTCAGTTAACATGACATTGGAATATTTTAAGCCCAGTGTTTTTAAGAAAAAAAAATCATAAATATATACACATATATTATGTTTGTTAAACACACAAATCTTATTCAATATGTTATTTACCTCCAAACACTAGTTCCCTGCCTACTAACTTTCTCTGGCAGTATCTTCCTCTGCTCTGAATGATTTCAAATCATCACACTCCCACACAATCTTTTCTCACAATTCCCTTTCCTTTCTTTCTTCCACTTTAACTTTTATTCTTCTTCTTTCGTGCAGCAGGAACCAAGCTACAATTTCTTCTTCAGATATATCCCTCCACTTGCACAATCTTAAATTCCTGACAAGTCTTTTACATTGTATCAAAGAAGACCTATAACTTCAGAGATCTTGTTTTACATGAAATGCAGGTCCTTATGTCAACTTAATATCCAAAAACCAGATACAGCCACCTGACAGTGACTTGTACTTGGCTTTCTGCTATTTAAAAGAACAGTACTTCAGAAAGCAACATCATAATTTCAAATAATATCCAAATACCAGATACAGCCACCTGACATACAGACACCTGACTTGTACTTGCCTTTCTGCTATTTAAAAGAACAGTACTTCAGAAAGCAACATCATAATTTCAATCCTTTACCTTATGGAAGCTTCCATAAAAGATTTTCTTTACATCATCATTGTCAAAAGTTACAGTTTGAACTTCTCCTCTTGAATCCTTGTTAAAGAATGACAGCACTTTGCTGGCAGCTGCAATAAATAAAAATAACACATTTAATTTCATACATACTACTGAAACCACCATACTAATACAACCTAATAGATAAAATCTAGTTTACTCCTTATTGGGTAAACACAAATAATAGATTATCTTAATGACCTGTAAGTATATAGATGTACTTTCCTTTGATTTTAGAGTTAATATTAAAGTTGAAACACAGTTTACATTAATTATTCTTAGCTGAACTATAGATGTACAAAGTTTAAAAGAAATTTCTTAAAACTAAAAATATATAATCCTTTTATCGTGTAGAAATGCTTTGGTTTTGGAAATACTTGGTAAGAACACATGCAAAGTAATGTAACATGTAACTTCTCTATGCGATAAGTATAATCATCCTTACGATCAAGCACAACTCCAACTTGTGGTTTGTAATCTCTGTCTGTAATCTGCCAAATTGCAAAAGGCTCATTGGGGGATTCAGGCAGAAGACGGAACAACAGAATGATAGTGTATGCCTGTGGCAGCCCCTCCGGGTGAATCTCCCTGTTAAGACAATATAAAGACATTTTTTCACATGGAAACACATGACAAAAATAAGATTGTCATCATTTGCTCTTTTTCAAAGAAAAGACACAGCAGGGAGTTATGAAAAGACATAACAGGGAGACCACAGTGTTTAATGGAAGAGAGCATTTTAACTATTCTCTCAAATAGAAAATAACATTGTGATATAAAAACACTGTGATTTGTTAAGATGAACTCACTACTGTCTTCAGCTGGTCCCAGCACCACAATTAGAGAAGATGCCAGAATACGACCAAGAACTCTTGGGCATGTATTCTTGTGGCAAAATTCTGTATAAGCTACACATGTTTTAAATTCCTTCTTGATAAGTACAGAAAAGAAAAGACCACAGCTTTATTCATTTTTTTTTCATCTGGCCTGCTTCAGTCAGGCAACATCATTTAACTATTGCTGCCCTTCAGGCACAGCTACAGTGATGGAATATTTAATATTAGTCTTCTTTGCAATTGGTGATGCATTTGGGCTCCAGCTCATTCTTTAGTGGCTCAGGTTTAAATTTCTGATATTTGGGCTGTTACACATTAAAAAAGCAGAGAGCCAAAAGTACATAAAAACATGCATGAAACAGCCTCCAGAATTTTCTGTAGGGGAAAGGACAGAATGCAGGAAGAGAACGGCAAGAAAAGAGGTGATCACTGCTTCTCCTTAACCATTATAATGGAGTCCAGAAGTCACATGAACATAAACATAAAAACCTTAAAATGAAAAGAGGAGCTGCTTTGTATGTTGGACAAAGATTATGAACCAATACGAATAGGAACACTGCAATAAAAACCATATTGCTAAGTCAACAACATCACACAGCACAGTGAAACAATTCAAATATTAAAGTAGATATAGCAACACAATTTATAATTTAGATAACAAGTTATTTCAGATATGGAAGCAACTATGCTATTAGGATCAGTATGAGTTTATTGCTTTGCTGACTCAGTCTAGAGTATTATTTTCTGGATTCTCATGAAAAATAAGTGCCCAGAATACTCTGGCAAGTCTATTCTACCTCTTTAGCAAACATTAGACTGTGTACCACAACATTTCTAAAAAAATGAAATAAATGTGAAGCCTATCTTTTTATTGTCTTTTCATCAGCTTATCCTAAATGCAATATCTATCAATGCAAGACAGTTGCAAAACTGAGATTATCTGTATTGCTCTAGACTGCAAAAATCCATGCTGTCAGAGACCTATCATCCCTACAGGTATTAATGGCATGCCAATGAACTTAAAAATCCTCAGGTCCCCCACTTTTGAAGCTGTGATCTCAGAAGACTAGCAAAATTAAATTATTTCTTTATAAACTTCAGCTTCTGTGCTTGTGATTTTATCTTTACCCAATCTGGCAGGATTGCAGATGATTTCAAAGGCTTCCATGAAAAGGAAACTAAATTTTCCTAAATTTAATGGGAACAATGGGCTATTTTTAGGCATCTCCTCTGAACCAGAACAACCTTTTTTGAAACTTACTTAAATAGATGGGAGAGAAACTAGTCAAAAAAAAAAAAAAAAAAAAAATGGTACGGCTCCATTTCTAGTAAAACTAACCGCTAACTAAGTCCTTTTTCTCTTTGGAAAAATTGGCAATAACCATCATATTACCTATCTATAACCAAGCTCTAAGACCACAGGCCCTTGAAAACTCTGCTCCATTTGCCAAATAAGGCAAGACAAGTAGAGGAGAAACTATCCTAAGTCAATGGCATCAATGTGCTGCCTACTGCAGTAAGAACAATGCTTCTGGAAAAAATCATGCTAATCCCTCCATATTGAAACCATTTCTGTCCAGCAACGTGGAATTCATTGTACTAAGGAGGTTGTTGCTCAACTGCCTAGGTATAAACTGTGGATTATATGCAACTTGAATAGTTAAGAAGCATAATTTCAAAGAAAAATAAGCAACTAGATTAATAGTGAACTATGATCGCAGTGGAAGAAATAGATTAACATTTAATGAAAACAATGATAGATGTTCTTCAGAGTGTAAATAGATTAACATTTAATGAAAACAATGATAGATGTTATTCAGAGTGTATTTCTTGAAGCTCAGTAAAATGAACATTAAATTAATGCATCTTCCATAACACACATATGCTATCTACAAACTCTGCTAATCCTTCATCACCTGGTCACCCTAAATATAAGTCTTGAGGTTTACTTACCGTATTGGCTGGCTAACAAAGGCATTTTTGTGGAGTTTATATGCTACATAGCTTGGGAAAGAGCCTGTTTCCAGTGAAACTCCTTGTACAGAAGCAAAATGCTTCTCTGTTAGATTGTATGATTCCAGCATCTTGAAACCTTTAAGTCCAGAAAGAAAATAAAAAATAAGAAACACTGTAGAGTTATAAAAGACACAAATGATCCTATGCCAAAATATTAGACAATTACTTACCAGGTGAAGTGTATCCCTCCAAGTAAATAAGGGGACAAGCTGAAAGATATGAAAAAATATATAATTCAAAACTACTAAGCCTAACAGGACATGAACACATGTATACTTTAGAAAGTTTTATTACCAAGAAGTCTATGCTATTATTAATTCTGAGACAGACTTTGCTACATTTGTCACACTGTGTCCTGTGATAGATGTAACGTCAAAATCTCTACTCATCACTTTTAGTAGGGTATTTCTACTCTGACAAATTATATGAAATGACAAATGAACCCCAAATATTTTAAGATTATAATTCATAAGAAGAAAGGAGGACAATGACACAGTCTTTCCATTAATATTTAAGGCATGAGTCAAGCTGCATAATAGCTGTCAGATTCTCAAGAAATAACTGCAAATTTATGTGGCTCCTCAGGAGCCAGCAGATGAGGCAGTTAGAGAACATGCAGTTGCACATGACAGGCCTGAGAATTTCTGGGTTTTGCCATAGAAGGATTTCTCTTGAATAAACAACTGAGCTTTACTCAGATAATTTTAAAACAGTGTCACACAGTATAGCTATACATCTTTAGCACTTAGTCCAGGGGTAAATAAGAAACTTGTTGTGCTCTGCAGTTTACATTAGGCATCATTCTACTTCTTAACATTGTCAGTGACTGTTAATATTTTCTTCTTCTAGTAGTGCTTTTGAAATGCAAAATTAGATTACATAAAACACTATACTCACTTCAAAATTTTAAAAAGTAACTTGGTCCCTTGAACTATATCCAGTTATTCTGAAATCTAACTTTTTAATATGAACATATCTTCTGATGTACCTTAAATAAGATGGCAAATTGTGCTCAGTTTGCATGGCAAGGCTTTGCTAATGGGGGAGCTACAAGGGTGATTTTTGTGGGAAGCTGCCAGATGCTTCCCCAGTGTCCAACACAGTCAGCTCCATTTGGCTCCAAGACAGACCTGCTACTGGCCAAGGCTGAACCCACCAGCAGTGGTGGTAGTGACTGGAGGATAACACATTTAACAAGGGGCAGTGGCTGGGCTTGGGGGTTGTGTGTGTTGGAACAGCCTGCAGCTGGAGAGAGGAACTCGAAAGTGTGAGAGAAAAAACTCTGTCAGGCACCAGAGCAGAGATTCCAGTGCATTCCTGGTCTTCCCTGTGGTGAAGACTATAGTGAGGCAGGCTGTCACTCTGCAGACTGTGGAAGTCCATCCAGACAAGGTCAGCCCACCACTCACTTTTAGCAATATATAAACAAGCATATTAATTTGGGAAAAATGAAAACCAATGTCTTCTACTCACTTGAGGTAGCTGTCTCACACACAAAGGTAACAAGGTTATCTTGAATCTTCTCAAAGGCATCAAAGTCATCAACAATAAACACATGACGCTCACTGGGCTTGCTAGCAATCTTGGCCAGTTCATTGTAATCCACATCAGCCACACCAACTACAAAGACACTGAAGCCTGTAAAAATAACACTTGTTACTTGAAATGCAGCAAACATACATTAACACTTTTAATGTTAATATTGCACAAACCATTGGCTTGTGATGAGCACCCATTCCAGATCTCTTTTCACCCTGTCAAAGCTCTGAAAGAGGTTTCACATCTTTCTTTCAAAACTTTCTCCTCATTCATTGTTTTTTGGGGCATTATCCAATCTCATGCGCCCTTGGCTACATAGTTTCCTCACTCTTTACCACAATTCTCTCAACTCTACAGTATCTTAAATCTGTTCTGCAGCCAAAAACTGTACAGGCCATTAGTTACCCGGATGTCTATCTGTTTCCATCTTGTGCGTTTCATGCCTCTCGGTTTATCTTTCTTAGAGTGGCATTCACTTCACCAACTTCTACTTTCTAAGTTGTCTAATTTTTCTCTATAATCACCAGATAGACATGGCCAGATTCAGAAAGCAATTCATCTTAGCTCCCTCACATGCTGAATTCAGGATAGGAAAAGTAATTGTCTATAGATGCCTGTTTCTCTCTTCACCAGTCATAAAAGGATCCGACATGATGACCTTAGACTAGACATTTAGTTGTCAGATGTCTTAAGTTAAATGAGAAGAACCAGACCACAGAAGTCAATCATATCACCAGGTGTAAATTTCATTCAAGAGAAACTGCACAGACATTGGAAAAGCCAGTTGGAGGCTGAAACTGGGATTCACATTTATTCCAAGCAATAAAAGTATAGCCAGTTCTGGTGAAACTTTGGCTGAAATACTCTGTCCAACTTCAAGAATGCTTTGATATGTGTAGAAAACAAAGCAAGTAGAGAGGAAACTAAAAATGATAAGGGGTTTCAAAAACATGATAAACAGGACATTGAAGGAAAAATGTAGGTTCGTTTGGTCTAGAAAAGAGAAGACAGAAAGAGGAGATGACAACAGGTTTCAAATACAAAGGCCCATTACAGTGAACAGTTTCTTTCCTGGTTAACTAGGTAAATGAAGACAACAATCCCACTAGCATGGAGAAAGACTTCAGTGAAATCCAAGACAAAGGTCCTCTACCAGTAGGGTAGTTAAGCACTGAAACATACTGTCCAGGGAGACTGAGAAACCATCTAGACCAAGCTAATTCTTCCAGATTAAAGAGACAAAGATGACCATTTGTGCTTTACATGCATGTGATTCCCATAAGGATGTATGACATCTCCCTGCTCAGAGATCAGGACTAGGTGGTTCATGCACTGAAATGCAAAATGCCGAGTGCTGGGACAGGAACAGATTACTGCACTCACATAAGCCACAATCATCAAATCTGGTGAGGAAGTGCTTCTTAGCTAAAAAGGCAACAGAGGAGTCTATTCAGACCCAGCTCCTTCAAAAACAGTTACTTAAACTGGAGATCCACTGGTTTATACCAGATAAAACATAAACCTCAGCAAATCAGATTCATTAAAATATAAGCACTAGTATGGAGTACACTTCCCAATGATTTCTGGGTTCCAAACATCAAAAAGAAGAAGTAACCAAAAGCTACATCTTTGAATAGATATGCTTATGAAAACTTTGGGAAGCTGCATCTTTCCTCAGAGAGAAAGCTTAAGAAAGAAAATGTAAGACTAGAGAGCACAAATTCTTTGAATAGTTCCGATGTTTTCCCAAATACTCAGAATACATTTCTGAGTCCATAAAGGATAAGCAAAAGATTCCCAGATAATTGAAGCAATACAGAAAAGAAACAGCCAGGTCCTGTGAATTGCTTACCAGAGTGCTGTATGACTGTCGCTGCTTTCCTCACCTCATCCTGAGACCGACCATCTGTGACAACAACAAGTACCTTGGGAACACCTCGCCTCATGCCACTCTCCCAAGTCAAAACCTTTTCTTTGATAAATGTTAGGGCTTTGCCTGTGAAATATACAATAAACAAGGAATCATCCATATTATCCACAAGAGAAGAATTCTTTTACTTCTTAAGGGCAGCAGCCACAGAGCTAAAACACCACAGAAAAACCCACTTTTTCAGCCATGCAATATTAGGATAATTACATATTTTCTGAAAATATTTTATCTTAAATAAACATAATTACAGCCCAGAATTACCTGTCCTTGTGTTTCCTCCTCTGTACTGAATGTTTTGAAGAGCACCCAGGGCCTGGGCTTTGTCATCAAATGTATTCAGCTTAAATTCAGATTTTGCTTCATCACTGTACTGCACAAATGAAACCTGAAATGGAATGTAACAACAAAGTGTTCAGTCTCACACCTCCACATTCAGGCCAACTGTCTCCATTGAAATATGTAAGTCTGTATATAAATAATTATTAAATAACCAAAAATTATTTTTCAAATATGTCTGATTATGCACACACATACATATTTCTATATATAGACATCACATCAATGTGCACACAATTATCTTTTTTTTTCCTTCTTTCCTTCTTACTTTCTTTCTCTTTCTTCTGTGTATAAAATGTAATATGGCCTAAAATGCATATGATCAAATTCTTCCTGTTACTATGGTGAGATATATATGCCCATTTTCTACTTCTGAGCAGATGTACAGTATCTACTAAACTTCTTCCAGCTTTTTTTTTAGGAATAAAAAGTAATTCATCAATAGGATGTCAATAAAGTTGAATACACACATAAGTGCAAACTCGCTTGCCTCGTGCACTGAAATACAATCACTAAAAATGTATTCCTACATAATCATTTTTTTTACTTTGCTCCTTTTAATATTCTGTAAAATTGCAATATTATAGCATTCTATTTTAATGCTGAATATAAATATTTCTGTTATGCATATATTCACATTTCTTGTAGTAAATTCCCCTTTTAAAATTATTAATCTTCAATTAAAAACCTCAGATTGTTGCATCTCAAGTGGTATGTGACTTCATTGTTTTACTAAACATAAGTGTTTATATGTGTCTATCACCTTTATTGTCTTCTTTACTTCCACATATATTAGCAAGAAAAATATATGAAACAAAAAATAAATGAACACAAAAACTACCCAGTGTACATTAGAGCTAAGAATGATAAAGATTGACACACAGTGACTTGAAGGAGTCTCTTTCCTTTAAAAGTCTAGAGAGTTAAAGATAGGGAGTCAAATGACTAAAAATATGCCTAGAAGATGAAAAGCAGACCTTTAACTATGTAAATATCCTGTCATCCTTCTAACCAAAGAAAATGCATTGCACCTGCAGCTCTCTGCAACCAGAAATACCATGTAAGAAACTCCTTAGACCTCATGTCATTAATTTCATCTAGTGAAAGGGAAGTGGTTATGGGAACCTAGACATTGATTTCATCCAGCTTCCTACAAGTAGAAGAAGACTGATAATGCAGCAATACTTATGGTAAGAAGCCTGACAGGAAGTTACTTTGACAGAACTGTGAGCAGCCCAGAACTCCTGAAAGTCTATCCCTCATTAGATATTTCTGTTTACTCTCTCAAAATGCACTAATTCATTAAGAGGACCTCTTCATAATTTTACTATGCCCACTGTGGAGTAGATCCATGTTGGCACAGCATGAAAAGTCTTCTGGAAGTGCCTTTTTTAAAGGCATGCTGCTACTTAGTGCACTGGGATTCTAGGGAGCTCAGCAATGGCAAGCCAGCTGGACCCTGCAGGCACAGGACTCATCTTTTACACTGAAAATTTAAAATGTAGCCCTCAATCAAAAGTCAGAATGCCCCTAAAAAAATTTCTGATACAACAGAGACAAAACCTAGGCTATAAGAACTAAGCAGTGTGCCAGTTGTTGATGCTGTATACAAATAAACAAAAATATAAAATTGACCATAAATCGTCCCAGTTTCTCTACCTGAAGGACTCCCACAAACTGTAACTTTTGTATTTCAGAATAATAACATCTCAAAATAGACTGTATTTCCCTTGTATTTATAAAATGCCACATAAATTTAATAAATAATGGGCTTGCACACCCACATACATGTCTTTTACAGCAATCTAATACAAAAAATGACAGCATTCTGAAAGTAACAATTCAGTTAATCTTCAATTTCCCTCCAAAGTGTACCCAATGGAAGTAACAAACCTACCTGGATTCCAGCAGGATTGATTAAATCAAAGGCTCCTACTGTACTGAAAACAAATTTTACTACTTTGTTGAAATTATCATCACCAATACTCCAGGAAGCATCAGTCAAGAATACTATGTCTGCTTTGGCACCTCTGCATACTGAAAGTCCAAGAAAAGGAACCCTTAAAATACATCAACCATACCACCATGAAAAAAATATTGCTTCAAAATTTGAAAATTCAAGAATGACAAATATTCAGTAATTGTCCTACTACCACACATTCAACCTGGCACATGACTAATGCGCTACACAAAAACATTTATTAAAATATATCAAAGAAAGCTTCAAGAAATGTGAAAGAGTTCAAGACTAAAATGTAAATGTTGTAAATTACTTTTTTTCCTTGATCAGCTAACATAAAACATGAATTGTGTGCTGAGATCAGATAATCTCATAAATTTTCTGCAGAGCTATAGAATATCAATAATATTTTCCAAGGTTTGCATCTTGCTGTTGTAAACCAGGAAATGCTGTAGTAAGCTCTAGAACAAAGGGATGGCATTAAGAAAGGTCTCAATCTTCATTTTCCTAAAAGACTGTGCTAGTTTTAAATCCACTTAAAGTTATGAAAAATGCAGGTAAACTATGAAGTAGTACAGCAACTACACAAAAATATTGAATAATTCTAGAAATAAACATACCATCCCGAGCTGGAGGGATTGTGGGAGGTGGAGGAGGTGTAGGTGGTGGAGTTGGTGCCTCTGTAGGTTTGAGGACTGAAAAGAAATAATAATTTTATTCTACAGCTGAAACAAGACAAATTCTATAGCTAAAACTTAAAGTTCACCGTATCTGTTACCTACCTGTATGCTCCCTCATAGAGACTGGAGGTCCCTCAAGGTTAGGGGTCTGAACAAAGACAGTAGCATTGTATTCTGTGTCTGGTGAGAGGCCAGTAAAACAGTGGCTTGTTTCTGACCCACGAATTGTGATCTCCTGTCCTCTGGAACCTGTCAAAAAAAAACCCAACAGAAAGAAAGTTAGAACCTATTACTTCCCTTCTAATGTAAGAAGTGTAGAAATGAAGAAACTTCTTGAAAGGAGGTTGGGACAGCACTCATTCTTGTCCCATAACAACCTTTCTAGACCAAAACTTGTGATTTTGAACTCTGGAGCACACTGGAAAGTACAATTGCAGCCCACATGTGAAAACAGGCAACTGGTAGATGTAGGTCCACTTGACAATAACCAGCGCTCTCTCTTTGCAGCTTTTTCACCACTCAAGAAAAACAGGTTATATTCAGAGCTCTAAAACTCAACCAGATGTATCATTATGGTTGGTGCTTGCCACCAATCCAAATAAGTGGTGCTGTCATTGGCATTAGACAATTATGTTTCTAGAAAATGCAAAAAATAGAACACACTTACCATCAGTTGGGTTTAGCTTCAGTCTGTAGGAAGTTGCTGACCGATGAGGTGACCATCGAATACAGAGAGTATCCCAACCCACTTTGTAAGTTGTTAGGTCAGTGACATTTAAATATACTGTGAAAAGAGAGAGAAATTTTTCTCTGTAAAATAGTGTATAATAGGTAAAGCACACCAAAATGAAAATTATATTAGCAGTGCTGGTTTGGAACTTGATTTTTAAAAACACTTGCAGAAAGAAAGAGCAGTTCTAGTCAAATCTCTTTATTTTACACCCTACAGATCCCTACCTAGCTATTTGCAAAGGCCCCAGATCCCATAATGGGTAACAGCCCATTTTATGAGTTTTCACATGAAGACAATTTCTTTACAAAATAATAAATCTCCAAAAATAAAAATTTGACTCATATATACAGCAGCATGAAAATAATGTACTTGATTCATCATAATGAAGAAACTTTTAGAAGTTTCTTAGCTGAGGCCATCATCAAAATCACTGGACATTCCTATGAGGTAAAAGCCGGATATCAAAAAGCCTAGACCTGGTTAGTAACATGGTTAGATTCTGTAGTACCCTGGAGACAGGTAAAGATTGACTTCAAGTATAGCTTAACAAAATTTTAGGAAATAGACTAGAAAATTTTATATCATCATGTCATTACTTCAAAATATATTTTCATTACTCTTCCCAAGATTAGTGTTTTTAAGATCTACCTCATGGACAGATGACAAGTATTCTCTATGAGAGGATGCTCAGGCTTCCTAGCAACTAGACATCAAAATCTTCTCTTAATCAATGTTATCTCATACTAGCATATGTATCTAGCATGACTACAACAAAATTGTTCTGACTTACATGTAGTGCCTTGATCTGTCAAAGGTATGCTCATTCCAGAATCATACTGGGCATAAACATTCACATCATAAGTAGTACTGGGAGACAGATTATGCAAAATGTAGGAAGTCACTTCTCCCACAAAAAACTCCCTGGGCTCATTTGAACCTTGAATCAAGGAAGCATTAAGAACAGAAAAAGAAAGAATCATGATTACATGAGCTACAAAACTATTCCATCTCTCACACATCAGTAAATGCTAACTTCATTTTTTCCAAAACAAAGCATATTGATTTCTTAAATTTTAGCATATTACAATGTTGCAAACAGAACATACACGTAGTTTTACAAACTATTGTGCTATGTTTGTGTTCAGCTTCTAGAAATATATGTATATTGTTGGAAGGCCACATAATACAAAAGTTCTGCAGGCCATTAGTAGCCATATACCTGTCCAATATCATCTCATATATACCAGTTCATAGCCTTAGAAGGACAAGAGGCATTAAAGAGGATAGAAACATATCAGGTTTTAACTATACAATTCAATCCCTGTAACCGAACGTATGAAACTACAATTGATAGTTTGTGTTTATTATAGAATATTGATTATAAGACTAAAGTTTTCATGAAAATTGGTAAACAGAGGAAATAAATAGATCCTTTAACACAAAATGATACATATGATTTCTACTCTGGTCTGCCATTAGCTACTCACTGTTCTAAGAGTGGTATACTCAGAATGAACAAGTTTTCTTACCCACAGGCTTGTATACAATTTTATAGCCAAGAACAGGAGATGGTGAAGGATCCCAGGAAACTCTGAAGCGTGTATACCATTCATCAGTTATATACATATTTTGAGGAGGAAGCAGGCCAACTAAAAAGAAAGAAAAAAACCCATTCTAATTAGGCTAGTAATTGTTTTTCAATTTTAAGAAATGCAGATTGTTACCCTGCCGGTAACAATCACATCAAGGACATAATTAACTCAATGAAACCTTTACAATGTTGAAGTGTTCAAGGAATATGTCTTAAATTTAAAAAAGAATAATCAATATGAAAACTATAATTACCAGTTCTGCCATTTCCAGTCAGTTGTCCACCATCTCCATCTTCGTACACAGCAACAACAGTAATTTTATATGGCGTATCTGATTGTAGTGGTTGCAGTATCACATTATTCCTTATGCCAGGAACTGTTGTCTAGAACACAAAAGAAATAGAGGTAAACACATTCACAGTCTTGCAACTGATCAGTAGTGACAGTAGCTAGAAACAAAAATTTGTTCTGACATTTGGCACACTACGTTTTATGTCCATCATTGAAAAATTCATTCAGGACCTTAAGGGTTATAGCCTGCAAACAATTATCAGTATTTTTTTACAAAACACTGTGGCCATTACAAAAGTATAAATAAAATTGGTTCTTCAGTCCCACCACTCACATCAGACTGAGATGCTGCAGTTCTCCACCAAGATTTCAGTACTCTTCCCTCATAGAAATATAGAAGTCATAATGATGTGGGTTTTTTTCTTGGTAGAAACTAGTTATTCTGAGAGGGAAGCTCTAAATATATTGACATATAAAAGTGTCCCTATTTATGCATCCCTCAATCTCAACTTCCTTATGCAGCCATGCACTATTTCTCCCTTCTAATGAAAATGTAGGTATAAACCCAAAAGTGATCCTGCTCCATGAGGAAGATATAAAGCACTGAAACTAAGGAAAGTAACTTGAGGATCTCTCCCAAAAGCACATGCCTGTCAGCACTTGCTATGAATACTTGATTAAAATTTTCAGTTGCTTGAGACTTGCTGTTTTTATGGATTGTCCAATCTTTCCTGCAAAGATATGTGTGTTGACAATATGTGTGTCCTGATTAATGAGTCCAGTAGGGAACTTTCAAACAGTGAATTTTCAGCATATGCTATACAGTAATATAAAAGCAATAAAAATATCATTTTGGCTGGTGGCAGTTGGCAGGAATTCTGCCCTTGTCTTGTACAGGATCTGAGCTTAGCTTTGCTATAAATACTCTGTGAATTTTATAAGTTTCAGAATAACTTGTGCTATCATTAAGGTGCAGGAAATGAAACACACTTACAATTCATACTGAAACTTAGAACAGCAAGTTAGATGCTGAATCAAAGTTATCATTGCTGTCTTATGAGACTGTCAATTCTCTTCAATTTATGAAATGCAGACTTATATTTATTCTGTAACCTAGAGCACTGACTTTGTAATGAATACAGTGTGAAGTAATAGATGGCTATTCAATCCATTGCACTTTAACAAAATGCCAGGAAGCAGATTCAGTTCAGAATCTTCTGATTAATGCATGACTCACATATTTAACATTATTTCATACACATATTTGTTCAAGAAACCATATATTTTCTGTAGCTTCATGGAAAAAAACCCTGTTTCATACAAACCATGGCTTCCTAACATTGACAACAATGACCAGAAAACCCACAAAGCCTGCACAGTGTACTACATGTAGAACACGTCTTGTTTTTTCTGTAGCCTAAAGAATTGACTGAAAACATCTCAGTGCTTACTAAGGAACTACAGAACTTACATATTCATCAATAGGGTCTCCCACAGTGGGTGAATAAATGATTCTGTACTGCTGGACTGGCCCATCAGCATGGTCCCATTGTACAGAAAGGCTGTTTGTAGTCTCATCAAATACTCTCACATTCCTTGGGCCACTGCGAGGCACTGAAGAATGAAAATACAGAAGGTTGTACAGGGCATGCTACCTCTAGATCAGTGTCACCTTCATCAATTCAAATGTTGCCCTGAAGCCAAAGTCAAGGGCCCTTCCTGAAACCCTGAATAAATAAATATACTTGGGCAGATTAAGTCAATGATCATGCAGCAGTGCCTGAAGGTCTTAAATAGAAAGAGTGCCAAACTGGAGCAGTACAGAAGAGAGAGGACATCCAGATGTGGAAAGTGAGCATCTACACATATTCTGCTTCTCAAACTCCTGCAGACAAATATAACTATAGCCTGTCACATCTTCAGGTTTTAGCTAAATATAGGGATTTTACAGGGAAAACATAGAAGAAGCAAAATTATTGCTGTTGACAGGTTCTGTACCTGTTACTTCTAGTATGAATTTTAAAGAATCTAAGCATAACTCAACCAAGATCTTGTGAGATAAGTTGTAACAAGGAGATTTTGGTGTTTAGGTGTGTGCAGCAAAAAACAAAGAGCTGCGGAGGCCAACACATACAATTACTATATCAGACACTGAACATGAATCCCTTTTTTTTTTACTGACAACTAATTCTACCCATCTTAATAGGTTATAGTTTTTACAAAAGATAAATTGTTATTCACCTGTAATTTGATTTTGAAAAGTGCTTTTTAACTCTTACACATTCAAATTAAGCTTATTTCCCAACTGAAAATTACATTGCTAATCATTCAAGTACCACAACTGACTGACAGCATAGCAAAAGTCCCCTGCCAGAGGCCTATAATTGCTGCAGCATAATTCAGATGTATAATTCAGAGTTGCACTAAATAGCTTACATTATTTGTAATTGTAACTAATTTTATATGTCCTTCACACACCAGTTTTGATGTATATTTCACAACACAAGTAATGTCTCTTACATGTTCTTCCCTGTGCTTGGCTTGGATTTCCCTCTCCATCTGCATACAGAGCTATAACATTTATTGAGTAAGCAGTGTCAGGAGTCAAGCGCTCCAGAATTACATCACGAGTGTTGCCTGGCACCACAATCTAAAAAAGAAACAACAAGCACCTATATAAATAAAGTTTCAGCTTATACCATCTCTTTTTAGAAAACAACTTGAATGAAATACAAAAAAAATGGAAACATGACCATGTTGTGCACTGTCCAAGAAAAATAACACAAGTTTAAAATAAACATGCAATATTGATAAAAATTCAATAGCAGGTGAAAAAAAGAACAAACAGCATAAGGAGCTCTCATTCTGCAAACACAATTGTTACTTTTTACATTTTACATTAAAATAGTTCAGAAAAAATAGGAGAAACATTCATAAACAGAAGCTTAAAAAGTAATTTCTGTCACAGTTTACTATGTATAAAGGACATCAAAAGTCCTTACAATTCCTTACATAAAAACATGTACATCTACATTTACAATACGGGTGTACATTTTACGTTAGTACATTCATAGTCAAAACTTTAAAACTGTACTTATTTCTATAGAAATCCAAGAAGTATTACTCCACACCTGGAGGGTACTTTTTTACCCATATCCAGATTTCACTGGTCACCAACCCCCACAAAAGAGTAGTGATTTAGGGTAAGCAGATGGCATCTGGTTTCATAATTACACAATTCCTAATAAATATTTGTTGTCTCCGACTCTCTTGAAAAAAAAATGATTTAACTCATATTTGCCTGCAATATGATAAAGAATACTCAATCATCAATACAGTGTTTTAAATGGGAGAGTCTTATTTCTTATTTCTCTCATTTTACCAAATTAAGCCTCTATTAACAATGGACTAGGCTTCTATAAACACTGTGCTTTCCGCAGAGACTCTCCTGGGCAGACAGTTGGCCTGAGTTTACTATTATTTTTTACACTCATTGAAGGAAGCAGTATTCTCTACACACATTTGACTAATAGTATAAAAGCTAAATTACTTACAGATTCTGATGGCCTTGGGCCAGACAGTGGAGCATAATTAATTCTATATTGCTGTACTGGACCTGGAGCAGGTTCCCAACGGACATTCATGCTGTTTGGTGTGGGATTGTAAACGTGAATGTTTCTTGGTGTTCCTCTCTCCACTAGATCAAGGATAATTTAAATTAAGTTTTAGAAAGTTCCCTGTGTAAGTTCTATTTCAAAATGAATTTAAAACAGTGCTCAAAAGAAGATGAAAAGCACCTCAGCCCAAGATAAACAAATTGCTTTTGTTAGCCCAAAATTTACAAAGCTAAGAATCTCCATGTTCAGTCTTTCCAAACTTCCGTACCAGGCAGCAAAGTACATGTTTGTACTGCAAATTGAAAATATGATCATAACACTTTGTTTTCCTATTGTTGATCAGATATGTACCCCAAACCACACATTTTAGGTCAAGCTGACATTAGTAGCCCAAACTTCCTGGAAAATTTTAAGTACATGCAAGCACATTAGCATGGATTAACACCAATATTCACTCTTTGCTCACAAGTATTTCTACAAGCACTACAATTAAAATGTTACTGTTCTACATTAAGTGTGCTGCACAACTTTTGGAGCTAAGCTTGCCTGAGTTAAGTGGACTGAAAGCCTCCACACAAATAAGCAAGGGAAACAGAATAAGTTACAAAGCTGCAGAAATAACCAAACAGTTAAACTTTTAATGTAAAATCAATTTCTAATAATCTGAGGTTATTCATAAAAAATTCCTAACATTTTCTTGAAAAGGGCTATTTTGCTTACAGGTGCGTCCAGTGTCAGAGGTACGTCCACCATCCCCCTCTGGGAAAACTGGAACCACAGTTACAGTGTAAGGTGTGTTCGGTTCAAGAGTCCTCAGAATGACATAGTTTGTATTTCCTGGTACTGTGGTCTATAAATTTAAAAAGAAAGGGTCAAGAAAGTTACAAAAACATGCCAAAAAATAGTTTAAGCTTTTTTATTTATCACTTACTCCCCTACCATATCTAATTTACAGACTGGATGTGATAAAAACTTTACAAAAGGTGAAGCTTAAAATAACATGGTTTGTGGTATCTTCTAGAACGGCTTTTCAAGAACATTCTCTCGCAGACTTAACACAAAGGAGTTCCATGCATTCCTGTATAGCTCCCTTACAGCTCTCTCCACTTTTGGGTCCAGATCCTGCTGTACTAATGAAAGTAGCAGAATCTGCCATGATCTCTTTAATGACTACTATTTAGCAGTTCAGAGGCATTAAAATATCACTTTCTAAGTTTAAAAAAACCCATTACATAGCACTACAAACATGCTGATGACAAGAAGTATAACGAGCAGCTCATGTTAGGAAATAAAACTCCACAACACTTAAGAATATTTGTCATCAGTAGCACCTTAGTTCCTATTGAAACAATAACATTCATGTATGACTCATTTCATCTGCACATTGAATTGCACTGATGTAGAAAAATAAACACAAGGGGGAAACAATATTTCCCAGTCTGCAGCAAGTGTTTCCTATTTTCAGGATTCTTTTAGCTCTTTAGTAATTAAAGAATTTTGGCAGATTAGAATGTGGATTTTTCTGCTTCCACCAATACCATTGAAGCCTACAGTCACATGACTTCTTAACACTAAAGATGGGTAGAAATTAAGTCTGCCAACTTTATAAGCTTTTGTACACCCTGAAGTCAGCTTTACATTCACACACAGTGCCCTAGGGATAAAGAAACAAAAAACTGTGTGTGGTATTAAATCCCATGCTAAGAACTAATCACTGATGGTCTACTATATGAAATCAAACATCTGTAATACATGTGGGAGGAATTTTCATGGAGTTCCTGTGCATTTTCTCCAGAGGGGCTATGAACAGAAAAAAAGCCACTGCATAGGCAAACAAGACCTACTTCACCCAGCAGCATTTCTCTCACCACCACCATGAGCAGTAATTTATCTGAGATGGTTAGTGAGATCCACATGAATAATTTACCATTTCTTCTGCACCTCCAGCTGTAGGTCCATAAAACACTTTGTACTGGCGAGGACTTCCTTCTGCATGATCCCATCGAACATTCAGAGTACTGGTGGTTGGGTCATAAACTAGCAAGTTCTTCACAGTAGTGAGCGGTTCTGAAACAGATCAGTAAGATGTCAGAAATGTGGAACCCTATTCTCTCATTTTTGCTGTCAGATCACACTTCTGTAATGTATCCTTAGAAAATTTTAAAAATAGGTTTAGTAGCTCATGTTAAATCTTATTTATCTCCATTGCTCAGAACACATGAGCTCTATCCAACACCACAAACAATGCTAGTTGGAAAAATTTATTTCTGGACACTATTTTGGAATTCTGCAATGAGTTCATTAGGATTTTTTCTTCATTCCTCACCAAACCCATTGCTGTGTTGGACTTTCCATTGCAAGCTCATAATTATAGTAAATGCAACTGAATTAATAATTTTATAATTATATAATTATTTAGGTAAATACATTGAAATGGGTTTTATACCTGGAGCCTCTCTGATAGCAAATCACTCAGTGATTTCTATAGTAGGATAAAAAGAATGCATCAATATAAAATGGTGGAGTCCTAAAGCTCACACTGTGAAGGTCAGCCTTTCAATTGAAGGTGCTTAAAAGCATACAAATATGAGAGTAACATGCCCTCAGATGCTTTAAGGTGCTTACCAAATTATGGCATAAAACAATTAAACAAATTTAAATGAAGAAGAAGTTCCATAGTAAGATTTGGGTTTCTCTCAGCTTTAAAAGCTGGGCATCCAGTCAAAGTCAGTGGTCAAGGGTTTCTCTACAGCCAGTAGACTGAGAGGTGTTCTTACTTCAGAAACTTGAAAGCCAACAAAGGAAAAATGACACATACAGTTTCACCACAAGAAAGTTTTCTTAGCTCTTCTGAAAAGCAATACATGGATATTGTCTTGTACTTAATAAGAAAACCTGAAGGTGTTACTCACTGGTTCTGCCTCGTCCTGTCATTCGTCCCCCTTCACCATCTGCGTACATTGATGACACAGTAATAGCATATGGTGTGTCAGGCTGCAGCTTCTGTATCACCACACTGTTCTGTCGTCCCCCAACAGTAGTCTGCAGCAAAACAAAAGGAAAATATTAAAATCCCTTTTATACCCTCTCTTTTGTGCTTATTGCTCCAGTAAAGAATGCATACATTTGATGCAGAGTGGAAAACACTGTGTGTATCAATGCTGCGATTTTCTTGTGACTGACACTGACAGTAGACATTGAACATAGCAATATTTAGTACATATTGGTTTTAGCAAGTTAAGACTTTAGACAAAGACACTATTCTTTAAAATCTTCAAACTTCAATACAACTACAATTACATAAAAACTCCCAGTTCTGTACCAGCACAAATTACATTGTACCTCCTATCATTCTTTCTACTTTTAAGACTATCTGCACATTTTCAAAGCCTATTCAGCTAACGTGTTCAGCATAACACTTCCAATCATCTGCTGTTGAAGAACTGACAACGAGCAAGCATTTACACATCTTCACATTTCATAGCAGTAGATTATTTTAATTTACAAGCGGACTATTTTAACTTACAATCAAAGCAGTTTTTGTTCTCAAGTGTACAAAGCTCCTTTCAAAGCACAAATGCTTTCATCATGGCTGCCTCTACATTTTAGTATCTGACTGCCTTTCAAAACCTGACACTAAATTATCATGATGATCTCTGCAGTTCTGTGTGCAGTTTTTGCAGGCCTTTTTTTCTGTCTTCAAATCACCTGTGATTCCTCTTGGTGCTGAGGCTATTAAAAGTCAGACAGGGCAATAAAAAACCCCCAGAAATTATATTTTAAATACTTTGGTGGGACTATTCTACTGCCTACCCAGCACTACAGTTTAATAAAATATCAGAGTAGCAAAAGAAGACAAGGAATTATGATCATATGACTGCAAGTCATTTGCAAACACACATTAAATGCCATGAGCAGAGTAGGAGAGTTCTGTGTGCTCTCCTTAAATAGAGGTGTTTTTTCCAACTGCCACTGCTTGACTCTATCCAGCTGTAAGCAATTAAGTCTATTAACCATATTCTTTGCACAGATTTCAAGAGAATCATTATAATTCCCTTTTTACTCCACTGCCTGCAATTAATTACAGATGTTAATTAAACATATTGCTGTTCCTCATTATTCCTCTAGTGATTTCTCACTAAAATAGTGTTTGCTCAAAATACATTGCAATTACCTCAACCCAAATGCATGTTGTTCAGAAGAGAGTTAAAATGGGTGTGTAAATATCCAACTGATTCTAAAGTAAATATTCCTAGATATACTTCTGAACATGTGTGATCTCCGATTACAGAGGCGAGCTAAATGAATGTGGTTCTCATCTGAGACTGTTCCTCTGACTCATTTGACAGTAACCACAACAGCCTCCCACTACAGAATAGGGCATTTTTAAGTAGCACACACTCCTGATAAACAGCCTGACTGAATTACCATTCCCAGGCTGTGCTGCATAGGCTGCCAGTAGCCAAAAGTGTTCATGCTGACAACACAGGGAAAGCTGGCTGATCTTAAAGTACTGTCTCTTTATAGCATTACAGCTTCTCATCACAGTAAAAGAGTCTAAAATACCTTCAATACTTCATCAGCACATTTTTGCATGTATTTCTCTCTGCAACTGCTACCTCTGTGTGTTTTTCTGACCCTAGAGTGGTGAGAGAGAGTCTCAACCGTTCACAGCATGTTCCATGGCAGTCTTCTGGTAACATGGGAATTACACTATGAAAATGATGGCAAACTCTGGACTATGAAAGTAGTCATGGTAGTTCATATTATTGATTGTCCTGACACCTCTATCTGTGACTTGTAGCCTTAGATGCTGATTGACTTACTCCTCAACACACTTTATTTTAGTTTTATCCATGGATAAACAGTTGGAGTTTATGAACTCAAAAGATCTTTTCCAACCTAAATGAGTCTATGATTATGTGATTTTTGAGATAACAGGATGCATCCAAAATTATTGCTGCTCAATTAAGAGTATTCTAACTTGGATTTGAAAGGGAAAAAAAAAAAGGTAGGGTTATACACTTGTTCACTACAAATATAAATCTTCATGTAAAAAATAACTAATATATCCAGTGTTGTGCTTTGAAAAGAAATTCTTCTAATGGATTACTTTGCAGAAAGTTGCATTTAAGGTTGAATAACTTTAGCACTTTAAAATTAGTTACCGACTGTTCAGGGCCATCCCCACTGATGGGCTGGTAAATGATCCTGTATCTCTGCACTCGACCACTGGCAGGATCCCATTTGACAGTCAAACTGTGTGAAGTTGCATTGTACACCTGAAGGTTTCGTGGGCCACTCTTTGGGGCTGAGAAGCATAATAAAGAAAAGAATAAATATGTAGCTCACCAAAGAGCACAGACAAACAATTCTTACTTTTAGGGCTGCATGAATGCCTGATCAAGAGCAGACCGTATTAAGTACAGGGGAACATAAACTGTAATGTTTGTAAAATAATAAACATGTGGTAATCTAGTGTTTAGTATTCTTCCAAATACACAATAATATTTATTAAATGATCTCAGCTTTTTAATGTCAACATTTGTCACAGTTTAAAAAAACAGAGCTATGAGTTTCCTTCAATAAAAAGGTACCTGGAAATTCAGATTCTTACCTTGTGTAGTGATAGGTACCAAGGGTACTAGGAAAAAAAGCAGAAAGAATTTTCAGAATTCTTGTATGTGTGTGCCTTCTGTTTCAATAACTATGAATAACAACATGCAGAATCTCTTTATTTACTTACATGTTCTTTCACTGCCAATGAGCACATCACTTTCTGATTCATCAGGATAGATGGCAGTAACTGAGACATCATATAATGTATCTGGATTCAAATTTTCAAAGACCACACTATTCTCTTCCCCATTTAAGATAGTCTTGTGAAGAAATTAAAAAAAAAAAAAAAAAAAGGAAAAGGTAAATAAACAAAACCAAAAACATACAAAGGAAACAGGCAAACAGAGTGGGATATAACTGAGTTTTTACTCAGTAACATTACTGGACATGCTGTAAGTATGTGTCCTACACCTTCTCACTGAATTTCCAAGTTATAGGCCATTTATCAATTACATTTCTGAGTTTAAAAATACACCCTCTGAGATACTGCCCACAAAAGCATAGGGTGGCTGCCTATTCTTACCTCCTGTTTTTCTCCTCTTCCATAGGGCCCCCATGTTATTCTATATAGAGAGACATCTGGAGCTCCATGATCCCAAGTACCTCTGAAACTATTCGTAGTTATATCTGTGATTCTGAGATTGACTGGTGCTGGCACAGGCTCTATTATGAGAAAAGGAAAAATATTCCACAAAATGTAAATACAAAATAAATACAGTTAAACAGAGGAATTACTCAGACAAATAATTTAGAAGATTATGTAGAAGATTCATCTCCCAGCTACCACACTTCTAATGACTACAATCAAACACAGTAGTATTACCCAGTCCACTTACACTAAGCAAATTATCCCTCATAAGGTCACATCATTAGGTCATTGTCTGATAAAACAGACCTCAGCAGAAGTCACAACTCACATGCCTACTCAAAACAACTGAAGCCCTGGCTGTTACATTTTGGAGTTACATGGAGTGAATATGAACTCCCATAGACACAGGTCAAGTTCCTGCAGGAGTTTCTCACAAATCTTAAAATTCTTTATATAAGCCAAATAAGTCGCCATTTATTTAGAAAGAATTCACAGAGGTTAACTGTAGGTTAAGGAGGGAAAATATTATAGCCACTGGGAAGAAATATGTAAACAGGTAGAACCAGAGAATTAAACTTGAAATAATTTCTTTGGCAGACCTTTCCTCTTCTTTCCTTACAAACACATTCACACAAAACCACAGGTACAGAGCAGAGACTAGCACAACAGCGAGCAGGAAATCTCACAAGCATTTTAAAACACACCAGACTACCAAATGAAAAATTCAGAAGAAAAAATGAGGCAGAATATTAATGGGTTTTTTCTTCTTTTTCATACCAGATGGAGGGGCAGTGAAAAGGTAAAATTACTCTTTTCTATTGTAGGTTTTCTGGTTAACTATATTCTTAAATCCTGTGCTTTGATGAGGATGACTGGCTTGATAGCTGCTTTCTCCTTTCAGTCTGGCACATCTCTTGTATGGAGATCATCGCTTACAACTTGTGCGGCTCCATCTCCTTGCCTTTATTTTTTGAGGTTATACAAAAGCCACCTTTATGATTGTCTAAATGTAAAGGCTGCTCTAGCGTTCCGTGATGCAAAAACTCTCTTGGATCAGAGGCAGGATTGTGTCTCTCTAATCCTCTAGTACATGGCCCAGCTTCTGACACACTTGCCCAGATTTCTGCGAAGACTTGCTAAACCTTTCCTCTATTGTCCTTATATTTTCTTATAGATTCTACACCTACACTTCTCCTTCAGTCTTTAATTAGAAATAGTTTTGCCTTAGTGGCTCTTCACCTCTCTGCAGACTGCAATGTCAGTGTTCACTGCAGTAAGACACAGCTCATCTAAGATTTCTGAGGTTTATTACATTGCAAATAATGCTACAAGTGCAAATAAAGTATTTCTCAGATTAAATTAGAGCTTCACCTAAAATCAGTAGCATATTGCAACACACACCATTTAAATCAAACATAAGGCAAAAACAACCATAGGAATGATTATTAGGAAAACTTACGAGTGACAGCTTCTGCATTTGTTGGTATGGATTCCCCTTCGTCATATACAGCAACAACTTTTACATTGTACAGTGTTTGGGAGGAAAGATCAGAGAGAGTAGTGCTGGTTTTGAGTCGGTCAAGTTCCACCTAAGAATAAAAATAGTGACTTAAAGGATTGTAAATTGCTCTATTTCTTACTCTGCATTTGGTCTAACGGCAGAAATTCCTGTGGTGAAAAACAAAGTATTCTGCAGTAAGTTTTACCATTTGCCCTTACATTTACACCTAAATATTGAGTATTCTCTACTAATTCCTTTGCAAAACATTATATCAGATACACATAGTCCTTGTCGATCATTCACTGATTTATTAATTTAGAAACAAGGATGCAGTGTGAACCTTTGGAACATTCTGGTTCCTTTAAAAAAGAAATTTAATTCTCCAAGAGCTGATTTATGCCTAGCAGCACAATTAAGGAAAACTTGTACATAACTAAAAGACATCCCTAACAATGCTCACACATGTTCTGCTAGTAGGCAAAGGGGCTAACATATCTTTATTCCACTATCCTGTCCTCTTAATTGTAAGCCATTCTTAGACCTTGGCGGTACGATATTTAAGCAGAGCGTAGATATGGCTATTTACCAAAATATATGAAAATTCTTCAGTCAGTTTGAGGATCTTTTCCTCTCTGGAGGAGGAGGAGGAGGAAGATGGGAGTACCCAAGAAATCCATCTTGTGCTCATTCAGTTTCCAAGAAATCCGTACACTTTCCGGACTGCAATCACTAGGAACTGATGTTCTTTGCTCTCACTGGTGCTCTCACTACCTTTACACTTATTTTAGTAATCTAACTTCTCAAAATAAAACTTTCCTTGTACTTTAAAAATTTTACCTCCTTTACATCAGCATCATCAGCTATTTTGTATCTTAGGATGTATTTTCGAACTTTTCCTGGGGCAGGATCCCAAACGACTTTCATGGTGCTGTGAGTAACATCCTGAATTGTTAAACTTCTGGGTCCAGGCAAAGGTACTGTAAAAAAAATTATAATAGTAAGTGAATGCTATTCATAGCAGAGGTATAGGTCTCTCACAGATAGAAGTGAATTCTCTTCATGTCATTCAGTTAAAGTCTTTTCAGTGAATGGAGGCAACCACTTTCTGACAAGTTCATTGTCCTGGGCATTAGATGAGAGAGTTCAGAAGCTTATTTTCCCAGTAAAATAGCTATAAACTATGGTAGTTTCACCTTTGTAACTTATGAGCACAATACTTCCAGAAGTATCAGGGATTAAGACCATTACGTTTGGTGTTGGTGACAATAGTCACTTTTCATCTATGGTTAATGGTTTAAAATTTTTAAGGACATAAAAGTAGCCATGCTGCATGCATCTAGACCAGAAGCATGCCTCTGCCAATAGGAAAATTTTAAGGAAAGGCATAAATAAGGAAGCCAATTTAATCTATTTTTTTTAAATATAGCATGTTTCTTTAGTTCTTTAGTATTTTCTATGCTTAAGAGGATGCCTGAATTTGGGAACAAGGTTTCTAAATTAATACAAGCAAAATTGAAACCTTTTAAAAACACTGCAATCTCAAGATTTCTTTCATTATTTAAGTTTAAAATTATATTGTTCCCCTTTTAGTAATTGGACGCTTCTCATTGAAATTGCCTTTGAAGTCTTTGGGAAACGTGTAAGTGTTAGAAAATGCATAAAACACGGTTAAGACGGTCTTCTAAATGAAACAGATGACATAAAAGCTGTTGCATGAAATATAATTAAAATTAGGTGTTGCTGAAGCAACAACAAAGCAAAAATCAAGATGTCCATACATGTCACTTCCTGTGTGGTGAGTGGGTCACTCTGCATATCACCAAACAATACGTAAGCTGTTAAAGTGTACTCGGTGTTGGGGATGAGATCTACCAGCTGCACCTCATTCACTGATGGTCCCACACGCATCTGCGCATGAAAAATAACACACCATGTTTAAAAACTGAAGAAAGCAATGGCAGAAAAGCAAACAATGATTTAACTTCAAGGGAATTTTGTTTGTGAGATTCACAGTATATTTACAGTTTCCTGACTGATGTCATTGTATATAATATCCCAGTAAGTTCACTGCACTCAAGAAGCACATGCCAGTCTTTTGACTATTATGATAGCCTAACATTTTTTCTTAATTTATTTTTGGTATAGTACAGGTAGCAAAGACAAATTCTCTTACCTCTTTCTCTGTGGCTGGGACTGTGGCATTCACAGGTTCATATGTTAACAAATAACCAGTAGCTCCATTGAGAGGTTCCCATCTCACTCGCATGTAAGTTGATCCAATGTCATAAACATTCAAATTTCTAACTGAAGAGATTGGCACTGTCAAATAAAAAATACATATTAATTTATTCAATTCAACTTTTTAATATTTTATATCACAAGTCATACCGCTGAGAATATTGCATATGGGTATTAGGACATGTTATGTGTAGTAGAGAGGTGATCTGCAAACAGTGGCATTTAATTCCTTAGTTTAAGAATGAGGTAATGATAATACTGTTTTGAATGTGGCCACAGATTTTTAACATACACAGCTAAAACTCTTACAAGTCTGCACTGGAACATTTTAATCTTGTAAAAAGCAACATTAACTCACTTGAAAATTCTAATATGAAACAACATGACTGGCTTGCGATCTGTACAAAGAGGATTTTTGTCCTTTCTTTTTATTTTCTATATTTCTCAAATTGCTAAACAAGTGAAAAGTTTCCATGAAATCATATGAAAAATTAATGAAGACTTCATAAAAGTTATATATATTTTAAGGCTTTTTGACAAGTCTAATTTAAGGCTTTTTGACAAGTCTAATACAAAATAAAGAAGTGAAATGAACAGCAGACATTCAATATTATTAAAGAGGTAGAAGAGTCACCCTATGTTGCATAAAGCATAAATATACCTGAAATCAATGTAGACAGCTCATAGGAGAAACATAGCTGAGTTATAACTCACAGAAGTGGCATAATTGTGTTAAATTAGCTTTTGCTAATTAGAAATAATTCTGTCTGGTAGTTGAAGAAATTAATTATGTAGCATAAACAATTTGTTTATGATCAGATTTCAAGAATTTATAAACTCTGTCTTGTAATTCATGTCTGTTGTTCTAGTTTTGTACAGCCATGCTTTATGAGCCTAGAAAGAAGCTGGGACCAATATTTTCTACCCTATTGCAGTTTCACCTTGTTGAAGTCTTCAAGACAACAAGGTCTGAACAACAAGAGTAACACAATGCAGTTTGGTAATTCAAATTAAATATTTTACTTCTGCTAAGAAGAAAATCCATAGTGCTGAAAGTTCTACTGGACAGCTCCCCAGGTGCCAAACTGGCTGTTAACATGTTATTCAAGACCCATTTCTAACTTACAAGTTGTTTCCCTGCCGATCAGAGGTTCACTGCTTTCATCTTCTACCACAGAAAACACATTAACCACATATTCTGTTTCAGGCTGCAGATCTTTCAGAACTGTTGTTCTTTCCATCCTACTTACATAAAACTGCAAGAGAATCAATGTTAATCACTGTAAAAAAAAATGTTTCTAATCTTATCTCTAAGAAAAGCAATCATTCCTTGTGAAACTGCAGAAATCAATGACAAGGAGATAAGTCTGGTCCTAATTTTGTATAGATTTTGTCTGACAATATAGCATTGTTTTTGCAAAGCAACCTATAAGGAAATCTCAGATGGACACTCGTTCCAAACTGCACCGGATCTGCTTAGCATCACTTACAGTGCATTCTGATTTCACACATGGTTTACACTTATATACCACTAAAGAACATAAAGAAAGGACCAGGAAAAAAAGGGCCACTTTGGGAAAAATTTCAAAATCTGGGATAATCTAGATGGTTACAGCACAAGGCATTGGAAACACCTGGTAGAACAGAAATGCCTGGAACAAGTCAAATTGTAAAGTCAATGTGCACTGGAGCAACAGCTCAAACTTTAATCAAAGGCCAAATCTTGAACTCTTCATGAGCCAAATATAAGATTTAAAGCCACAATCAGAGATGGGACGTTCAGAGGTAGGGACACAGAGGGACCTAACTTCATTCTTCTAAACACTTAATTTTCCTAGATCCTATTCTGTTTGGTTAAAGAAAGTAATGAGCAATTCAGATTTCCCAGGACCAAGAGTTGCCAGCCACTGGCTCTCTCTGTAGAAAAGTAGTAACCATAAGATAAGTTTGATCCTGTGCAATAAACAGTTGGAGTCATGTAGTGTTAATCTGAGCACTTCTTACAACCTGTATCCCCCACTGTCTTGTTCTCTGCAAAGCAGGAAATGCATTAAAAGGACAGGGGGCCTACCCACAAGTATGGTCAGAAAATTTCTGGTGCAGACATATTTCAACTAATATATGACAGTGGAGGATGAAAATAAAGGAGTTACTAGAAATAGAAGACAAGTCTTTATAAGATATGTATTTTACTTCTGGATTCATGACATTAAAACAACAAAAGTAATATATATGCTCCTAATTTTTGTAATTTTGTATAACATTTACCATGGCATGATATTCTTAACCTTAGGAGCACTTTTAAGTTGCTGTTACACCCTACTCAGCACAAATAGAGAATTATATTACCATGACGTGGAAGTCCAGGGTTATACTGGACAATGTAAAAGATGAACATACAATACTAACCTGTTTAGGACTACCTCCAGAGGTAGGGTAATATTCTACTCTGTATCTATCAACACTCTCAGGAGGTGGGCTCCATCTCAGTCTGAAAGAACGAGGTGTTACTTCTGAAATAACTAAATTTGAAGGAGGTGGCAAATCACCTGCAAGAGGGAAGCAAATTAAAAAGATACTAATTTATCTTGTCAGAAGGGAAAAAAAAACCCCACTTTGTGTTGTTGCTTATATTTCTTTTTCCTCAGGAATTCTTAAAACAACTGCATGAAGAGATAGCTTATATTAACACACTCAAGATTAAACAAGTTCCCTGTAATTCCTATTCCACCTTCAACACCTGTGTTTCACTGAAGAACCATCAGCTAACATTACTGTTTTTTCATGCTCAGCTTTGGTTTTAGGCTATCAGGCATTCATACTTGAAAAGAACAGGGCTGCTAAAATTTTCCTTTTTGAATGAGTATCATCAAAAAACATGCCACAATGAATAAAAAGCTGACACGCTAAGAAAGATACTTCACAATTCTGCTGAGAAAAAGAAGACACATCCAGGAATGTCATGCTGTGTTAGTTATAACACAGTCACTGTTGGAAGGAAAGGAAGAACCCCTGCAGGGTAGTCCAGGTGGTCTGCACAACTTCCTCACACCAGCAGCTGAAAAAACAGCCCACGGCTAACACAATGTTCCCAATAAATAATAAAAAGGAACTAGCAGTGCAAGCACATAAAAGGATAAAGAATTATATAGACTGAAAATGTGATGTACCTGGACCTTTCACACTGTTACATAGGTTCGTGGTTACATTATCAACAATGGTAGCCAGGAAGGAGAAATCTGCAACATTGTAAGCATGGATGTCGTCTGGATCTGTTGCAATCTGCTTCAATTCATTTTCATCTGCATTTTTAATACCTTACAAGAGAAGAAGAAAGCAAAACCTGTTAGAAATGATGGTCATGAAGCACAATAACATGCAATTAAGCCCCTAAACACATTCTTCAAATAACCTTTTATGTATTTATGTATGTGACCACTTCTCTGTGGGTTTAGCAGATGAGCAGGAGGGGGTTGCTGCAGGCCATGCCTTCATAGAGTACTTACCAATTGCATACAGTTCCACTCCCTCATCTCTGAGTTTTCTTGAAGGGGCAACTACATCATCTTGTGATTTGCCATCAGTGATGAGAACACCAATTTTGCGAGCTCTGGGTCTTAAGCCGGCAACTGGTTTGAAGTTGTTTTTTAAGATGAAATCCAAGGCCATTCCTAGCATGACACAAAGAAAGTAACCATCACTATTAAAGTAACCATTGCTAGTGATGTTACTAGAAAGCAACATCACTAAACTATTTTCATGTAGTAGTCATAGTAAAAGAAATTAGTGCATCCTAGTGACTTCACTCTGACAACAGAGTTCCACAGTTTATTTCCTTATAGAAGCAATTTGAATCGAATTGCAGCCCATCATCTAGATCTCAGCACTGATATTTTCAGGTGCTCTCCTTCCTGGTGTGCATCACCCTCCTGACTTCCACTATCCCTCCTTCTGGTTCCTGGTTATCTTCATCCCAACTCTGAAATAGAACTACCTTTCTTCTTCTCATAGGCTCAACAGCAGCACAAGCTCTTCATCACCCAAAACCTTTTCTTACACATTTCTCCTGAGTTTATAACCTATGCTGGACCTCTTCCAACCATACTGAGCTGAACTGTTAAGTCCCTTTCATCATGGACACATTTGAGTTCACTGAACAATATCAGGGTCAGCTACTAGAATCATTTTCACTGGAGCTAAAGTAAAATCCTGGCACTGTGACTTACCTGTTAGAGTATTGCCTCCTTTGTATGGTAAGTTGGCTACAGCCTCTAACAAAGACTGTTTGGTTCGGTAAGCATTGAGATTCCATTCTGTCCTGGGATCACCACTATACTGTGCAAGACCTGGGAAAAAAGCCATCATTTACTCAGTCATTATGTGTCTCTGTAGCAGTTATGCTCCATTTTCCTTCCAACATATGAGAACTTACCAATCTGTACTTTGTCAGGACCAATATCAAAAACTTCAACAATACGGGCAATGAAGTTCCTGATGGTTTTAAAATTTGGCCGCCCGATACTCCATGAGCCATCCACCAGCAGCACAATATCAGCTTCTGCTCTGGTTCTACATTCTAAACCTGCCGTGTCAACCAGAAAAATATAGCCTTAACATGATGGTTTTCTTTCCCCATCCTTTTAGATGACATATGTCATGAGTTAACTTCCAAAATAGCTCTGTTTTATTCACTGGCACTCCATCAAGTATGACCTATTTGAGAGCATTATTCACACTAGTCAGTGGTTCCATGGCAAAAGCTGTCTAAATTCCTTCATGTATGTTTCCTTTTAAAAATAAGCCTTTGCAAATGTCAAGGCCAGTGCTCTCTCTCTATTGTCATGTCATTGTCTGTTTTGGCCTTTAAATACTGCTGATGACTTGATTTCAGAAGTTTTGTACAAGACTAATAAACTAATAAATGAACCACTGATAAAAAAGTAAGCACTATTAGACTATACAGTTTTATGGTATTGTAGTCTGTCACATATAGCTAAACTACTGATTAATTTTCAACCATGTAAAAGTGGGATTAACACTATGCATTGCAATCATTTTCAAATCAATAGCATTCTTCAAATTTCAGGGGGAAAAGACATAATAATACGTGTGGTGTAGAAGTTCACATGTACAGAAAAGAAAGAGCACAATCCAGAGAAGACACACAAGCATAAACACAGGTCAAGAGATACAGAGGGAACAAGAACAAACATTCATATAAAGCTGCAATGTTCTCTAAAGGTAGGAAGTTATTTCAGATATCTTCAGTTTACAAATTACAAAACAAAATATGCATCATATTGTTCTCATCACAAGGAAAATCACAAAATATTTATACAAAACAGAATGACACAATAATTTTATCCACAGCCATTTGCAAATTAAAAAAAAAAAAAAAAAAAAAAAAAACCACCAAAATCCTTTCTCTCTTTTTTCCTGTAGATTTTGTTACCAGCTGAAAATTTTCTGGCTTCCTGCCATCAGAGCTTCTGGTCTTTATATGGAAGAAATCCCATTGAGAAAAATCATCCACACTCATCACAGTTGAAAGATATTGTGATTTCATATATGTTCCACAGAATTGATCCAACACTGTAGACTCATGAATATAACTATTCCATGTACCTGGGGGTTAAAAGCATGATCCTCTTCTGCACAGAAAATATAGATCTAGTCTTTAGTCAGGACAATAAAATCAGTTGGGACTAGGGTTTAAGTCAAACTATGTTAGTTCAAAAAATTGCATGCATAACTTTAGTATGAAAGTTAAAGTTAACTTTATGTACAATAAAAAAGTTAATCTATTTTGACTTTTATGTTTCTTCCAACATACTGTAGTCCCTCACATGGAAAATTCTAGTAAATGTGCCAGATCTAGCGTGATTTTTTTCCCCCATTAATAAATAATTTACTGTTACATTTGCAGTCCAAGATATACATTTATTTTTCACATTAACCATGACTCAAATCTATGCATTAATAAAACTAATTAGCTTAAAGAGTATAACACGGAAGACAGAAATGAGAGCTGCTATAATGAAAACTAACAAATCACTCTTCGTGCAATTTTTTGCTGCCAGCCTTATTAAAGCTTTAGTCTAATGCCACTGATGGCCTGTTTTAGGGGATTTTTTTCAGTTTTACCCTCTATTATTAGACAGAATAGGACACCAGTTATTTAGGAAGTTTCTAAAAATGTTTCAATAAAGTCAGATACAAGAAGAGTACTTTTTATATAGCCTAATGTGAGCTAAGCAAAAACAATATAGTCAGCTGTCAGAAACCTTTTTTGCTTTATTTAACTCTGAAAGGGCTTTTCAGTTAGGTTTTTTCTCCTCACCAAATTCTCTCTGATTGTTATCCAAGCATTGAAATGGCAGAGGAGAAAAGGCTTTACCTATTCATGTATTCTTGGCTATTCAGAAGCAGACCTGCTTTTTTATGCTTTCCATGAAGGACTGAGCCCTGAAACCTTCTTCAGGTGGAATAATTGAGGGTATGATGATCACAAATATTAACATGCAGAGGCCTATTAACCACACCAAAGGGAGGTAAATACTATAATATTCACAGAAATCTTGAAAGAAAGGTTTAATAGCTACAGGTTTACTAGTGAGAAGCTCCCAAGGAGATACTGGAGAGCATTCTGCAATTGCCTCTGTGAAAAAGTCTCCTCCTACTATAGAAAAAAACCCAAAAGACTAAACAATGACTATGTTGAATATAAACTTAAATAATATATATTAACACACATTTCCAACCATCAGATCTTTGTTCGTTTTATCATCTTAGTCTAAAAAGGAAAAGTCACCATGTAAGGACAAGAAAAGGGCCAACAATCTGCTTAAAATTCCTTGTTCTACTCCTGTGAAAACCCCCGTAGATGGGCCATGATCTCTCTTCAAAAATTTGACCTTATGTGATCTAACACAGATGTGGACAGCTTGAAAATGCAATGCAGATGGCTTTGAATAATCAGCAAAACACAGATTGCCTGCATTATCATCTTTGTAAGATCATCTGAAGGGTGCAGAGGACTAGAACTGTGAACTGGGTCATGCTTTGTGGTCATTTCAGAACAGGGTTTATATCATCAGGGAAGGGAATATATTGAATCCTGTAAACAAGTATGTATGTGCATTAGGAAAACAAAAAGGAAATGTAGTAAACTTTTTATCTTTTTTTTTTTTAATCCAAAATACAAGACTGCCTTTTTCTCAATATTCAGTCATGTTTACCTCTAGATAAAAATGGCTCCGTAGTAGTATCTGAAAGGGTGGTCATCTCTTGTCCAACCAGAGGGTTGCTCTCTCCTCCTTCAAACATCCCAAAAACATTTACCTTATAGGTAGTTCCTGCCCTGAAATAGTCAAAGAGGTGTTCTTTAACTAAAGTCATTTGGCTAGTTAAATACTAAACACTTATTAAATTCTCACAGGAAAAAATACTTCATGGAAAAGAAGGTGGTAAAACATGAAGCCCAAAACTGGCTCTTCCACAAGACATTGATGTTTCAACAATTTAAAAGCTGGTTTTACACTCTATACTTAAATTTATAGCCTTCCTCATTGAAGTTATTTAATTCTGTGAAGAGAAATTGTCCAGGCAGCCAGAGATGAGGTTAGGAAACCTAAAGCCCTGATATAATCAAATCAGGCCAGAGACACCAAGGGCAACAAGAAAAGTTTCTATGGTACATTGATAATAAAAGGAAGACTAGGGAGAAAATGGGCCCCCTCCAGAAGAAAACAGGGGACCTGGCTACCCAGGATGTAGAGAAGGCTGAGGTACTAGATTATATTTTTGCCTCAATTTTCACTGAAAAGTGCTCCAGCCACACTGCTGGAAGGTCACAGAGGGCAAATTAAGGGACTGGGAGTGATGCCTGGGCTGCATCACAAGAAGCGACCAGCAGGTCAAGGGGGTTCATTGTCACCTTCTATTCTGCTCATGTGAAACCCCACCTGAAGTACAGTGTCCAGCTCTGGAGCCACCAATATAAGAGCTTGGACCTCTTGTAATGACTCCAGAGGAAGATCAAAAAGATGATCAGAGGGATGGAATACTTATGCTGTGAAGGCTAAACTAAGCATCTTTTGAGAAACATGAGACAAGAAACTTTTGAGAGGAAACTTTAGAAATCCCAAATATCCTTCATTATTCCATTATCTTTCTCATGTGTGAAATACAGAATACAGTTCCAGCTGATATCTTTGCCTCCTTCAGTTCCTGTGAGAAGACCACAAGTGATGTAAATGGATAACCTTAGAAAGAAATCTACCAGGTACCTTTCAGAGATGGCATAACAGGATTTTCATAGCTAATTGACAAAATTACTTGTCTAACTTACAGTAGATTTTGCCAGGCATTTCAATACCAGATCACGATTAAACAAAATCCTATGCTAAAGTTATTTAAAGGAAAAAAAACAAAACAAAACAAAATCCAATATGAGGGAGCAACCATACCTAAGCTCCTCCAATACTACTGTGCTGTCATATGGCCCCACTATTAATTCTCCAAGGCTCCTGTCATCTTCAGTAGGGTGGAAAGTTACTTTGTAGCCCTTCACTCTCCCCGGGGCTGGCTCCCAGGTTACTCGGAAGCTTGACATAGTTGAATCAGAAGTTCTCAGATTTCGAGGTGGCTTAAAGGGAGAGGCTGAAAGGGTGAGAAACAAAAGAGTTTCGATCAGGTCTGCACATGTCAAAAAATCAACAAGTATGTTTTTATGTATATATATATATATATATATATATATATATATTTGTGCAAATCTAGTATTAATGACAGTCCTAAGCTCTTTGCTCCTTTCTTTAGACACAAAGACAAGTAATAAGAGTCTTAAGTGTCTTAAGTGTCAGAAATCTCATCTATCTAACCAATAGGTACGTGGGCTAAGTCTCTTTTTGCGGCTCCCTCTGCAGTCAGTGTACTGAGGGATAAATTGCCTGGCAGCTAAAGCAATTTCACCAACCACAGGTGTGGCAGTGTGTCAAAAAGCAATTCTTCTGAGGAGCGCCAGCCAAACAGCTTGAGGTTTTTAGGTCAAGAGCAACTTCCTCCAAAGACGAACAGCTGCCCATTGCAGGGCAGTACTCACAGACAATGGTTAAAAAGCTGTTGCTTACTTCTGCATTTTGTGCAACTTTTGCTTGTGTGCAACTCTAAAGTGCAGTCATGGAAAATAATGCATCACTGTAAGCTCAAAGTGAAAAAAAAAATGTGAATTAGAGTAAACAAAAAGCTACCAGTATAGCTTTTGCCTGAAAGACATAGTCCCTGTGTCTAAGCAATTGTCTAGCTGTAGGCAAAAAATCATAAACATCTTCAACATGTGAATTCTGCTGAGAAAGAGTAGATACATTCCTACTCACAAGGAAAAGTACAGATTCCCTGTCTCATCTCTCATCATACTCCCTGAATTATCATGATAACTTCAACTAAAAAGATTACTCAGGCCACACTTGCTTCCAAAGAGTGATTGCCACCACAGTTATTTAGACTGAAAGCAGAGGCATATCTGTATCAAGATGCAAAGTTCAAAAATCAAAAGCAGCTGGATGATCTAAAATTTATCTCAGTATAATTTTCAGCATTAAACAAGTATGTATTGGTCAAGAGCTGATCAAGTTTTCGTGACTCCTTTATATCAACCACATTTTAGATAAAGAAGAAACCTTTATTCAGTAACTGAGGTACTGATATCTCCACTTTATCTTACTTCCTGTCATTCAATATAACATATATTCAGAAAACAGAGAATGGCATGAGCTATCTACAGAGTACCTCAGTGAATGGCACTAGTGTCAGACAGGCAGAAACATCCTGAAAAAGGTTCTCTTTAGGTAATAGCTTTCCATCTATGGAAGGAGAAAACTGACACTAAATCTGGTTGATCTGAACGTATAAAGAACATTTACTTACAAAACCTAAGACCAGCATCACATTCCTACTAAAGGTAGAGTAGAAAATTAGTTTTGCTTTTTCCACAAAAATGCCTTCACTGAGATTTAATAAACATTTTAAAGTTTCAGTTTCTGAGGGAGAAGACAGCCTGTCCAAAATACCATGAAGTCAGACTTCCACAGATGAATCTTCAAAATTGTCTACTGCCCCTTTTTAGTACCTTGGATTTTCCACAGAAAATATGGTGACCAGAGAAGACAAACCTAAATTACAGGATGCTGGGTAGCTATTTAATCAATATCCACAAGCAAAAGGCAAAATATGCAACAGCTGACAACACTCAATTAGGTAGCCTGTCTTCCTCACAAAACACCTTGTTTGAACTTCTGATGACAGCATTTCAAAACAATTCTAATATTTTCAAACAGATTTTACACTGTACTTACACCTTTTAATATCAACAGCAAAAAGCTGTACTTAGGCTATGCCACAGTGAAATTTCAAACAAATCAAACTCTCTTCTCAACTCATAATATTTTCTTCAATTTTCCTGTCAATTCGTGATCTTGGCAGATTTCACCATGCTTTTCTGTGTTTCCTGTTTAATAATTTTAAGCACAAATCTTGCATTATGAAATCCTGGTCAACCTTGTGGTACATACCTGTTGTCCCTTCTCCTTTTCTTGATTTGCCGTGTCCAAAATCATAAATTGGAACAACAGTTAGGTCATATGTAGTGCGGGGCTTAAGTCGCTTTAACACTATGCTGGTAGCAGGAGCATTTACTCTTCCAGACATTTGCCTTCCTCCGCTGCGCGCTCTGTAGTTCACACGGTAAGACAAGACTTTCCCAGGCGAAGGCTTCCACGTAAGTCTCATTGTATTTTCTGTCTCATTGTCTACTGTCAGAGTCCTGGCATTTGGTGACACTTTTCAGTGTAAAAATATGGATAAATTTTTACTTTATCATATACAGATATATTCAAATGCATGACTAAAAATTAGTTCTGCTGTGCTAAAAAATAAAATTGCCCTTTTTAAAATTCCAGTATTTGATTGTGAAGAAGACACAGGGGAATCTCACAGGCCATTGTTAATTATTTTTTAATGATAACGAACTAAACAAACAGAAGTGTGGTTTTCACTACTGAGACCAAAAAGGGGGAAGTATAAATCACATGATGACACAGCATGATTGGGAGTTTTAATTTATCGTGTTTTTCAGTAATACATTAAATAATGGATTCAGCACTTTCAAATGAAAGTGATAAATTGTAAAGTCATTGATTTTCATGAACACGATTGATTTTTCATGACATTGATTTTTCATGTCCTATAGATTTTCTAAGTTTTGACTTTACAGGTCTGATAAGGTACTGGTGAATACCTAAGCAGCTGGCTGTTGAACCCCATGCATACTGTCCTTCAAATAGAGGTGAGTGACTTTCCAAATGCTTGGAAAATCACTCATCACAACATAGCATATGTGCTGAAATAGGCCCTTGAACTAATAAAGCATTTTCTCGACAAATTGCAGCATTCAGCTTCTAAGAGATATTTTCCAGACTGTACAAATGGTATAAATAATCCTGAGTGAACTGACAGGTATGCAGTGCTGGCTGTCAGCCAAAATAAGCCATCTAGATTTTGGGAAAGCTGAACCCTCTTGGCATGGTAGAATCGGTCAATATTTCAAAGCACAGTAAGGTAGGCTTTGTAGTTCCTAGGAACTGACAATTTCTAATTGTGTGTATACCAGAAAGATACAATAGTTTCAGGCTACTAGCCCCAGGTGTGGGGCTATTGATAGGCCTAACAGCAAGTTCCCTCAGTCAGCGCACAGAGTCAGCACCAATGATAAGGCTAGTCTACCCACCTAACCTGGAAAAGCTAGAATAGCTGGTGCTGCTGTGCTTGAACAAAGAAGGAAGCCGTGGGACAGCAGTCTGCTTTGACTCTGGGGAGTCAGCTCTTAGTAACAGCAGCAATCACTACTCTTGCAAAACCTTAAGAACGACTGCACTGGGTCAAGGACAAAGGTTAACGTAATTCAGCAGCCTGTCTCCAACAGTAGTCAAAACAGATGCTTAGGACAGAGCACAAGAACATGTAAACACACATGATGCTTCCCCAGAGCCCTCCCTCAGGCTTTGTCTTCACATGGCCCCTTTAGGCAAACAGAAATGTCAAGCCTTATCCAGGACATCCCTTCATTCATTCTGACTCCTTTACTTGCAGTTCCTGCTACACAGAAAAAAGCCATTCCTGGTCTCTGTGGTTTTTCACTTTGCCTACACTGAAGGAGAGGCTTGAGCCTGCTTTGACAAATATAACATAATGTTTAGCAAATAAGAAAAAGAAGAGCCCCAGAAAGGTGAATAACAAACATCAAAATCACCCAGTGAGCCTCAGTTTGAGGACTGTGAAGATTGGAATGGCAATAACTTGGAAAGAAAACTCATTGATTCTGTGGGAATGCACCCCATCTTTCCTCCTTACTCTATCTATATTTCCTTCATCTGATTTTCAGCAGTCACACCAAACATATAAAAGGCTGAATTCAGAGTAATATGCAGACCAAATCATATCTTAACTTGGAAGTAATTCTTGCTGCATCCAAACCAGTGGATTTTTGATAGGTTATTTTATGATTTTTGTAGGTTATTTTATGGTCCAACAAAATGTCAAAATTGGCTGAGCTGAGGTGGCATTTTTGTTTGGAGAAACTTTTCATTAAAAAAAAAAAAAAGGAGGAAAAATAAGGTCCATTTTCTTTAAAAATTATAATTTCATCCATAACATAATGTTACAAATGGTGGTAATGTATTACACTTACCATCAGTAAAAGCCTCTCCTTCGACTGGGTCTCCTTCTCCACTGCTGTAGGCTGCATATACTGAAATCCTGTATTTAGTCTCTGGCTCCAAGCCTTCTATCACAGCATCCACTGTATTTCCAGGGACTCTCTTCTCTCCCATGGTATCATCATAATATGATTTCCATACTATCCTGTAATGGTCAACTGTTCCTGGAGCTGGTGTCCATGATAACCCAACTGTAGTGTCAGTTATGTCTGTGGTAACCAAATTACGTGGTGAACCGCGTTCTGCAAGAAAGAAAACAGCAAATTCTCTCTTAAACACAAACAGCAAAAGCTAGCAAAGTACAAATGTAAAAGTCCGATGATCTTAAGAACTAAACCAAACTTTTCTCATCAATATTATTTTCAATAACATACAATGGTAGTCCCAAGAGAAAATATATTAAGGTTTCAACAAAATGCTTAAAGCAAACGTTAGACTATGAATGATCCTATCCTTACCATGTAAGATACTTAGCAGTCATGCTTTACAATATGAAAAATAAGAATGGCAGTATTCAAAGACATGGAATGAAGCCAGTGCTTAAATGTGGTGCAGCTTACTTAGGCAAATTTTAACTCTCAAAAAAATTATTTTATTTCATTCATTTTCATTGTTATGTGTGTAACTTTTTTCCTGGGGTTAAATAATGGAGATTTTTCACAGAATCACAGAGTCTGTTGAGTTGGAAGGGACCCAGAAGGATCATCAACTACTGGCCCTGCACAGCACCATCCCCAGGAGTCGCATCATGTTCCTGAGAGAATTGTCCACACACTTCTCAAACTCTGTCAGGCTTGGTGCTGTGACCACGTCCCTGTTCCAGTGCCCAGCCACCTTTTTATAATATCCAACCTAAACCTCCCCAGACACAAATTCAGGCCATTCCCTTGGTCCTGTCACTGGTCACCACAGAAAAGAGATCAGTGCCTGCTCCTGTCTTTGCTCTCATATTCAACTTTCCATCAGAAAGGACTTGCAAATCCCTTTCCCTGGCACTGCTTTCCAGCATCTCATTCCCTGTTCTGTCCATACATCCAGGGTTGACTATCCCAGGTGCAGAATCCAGCACTTTCCTTTACTGAACTTCATATGCTTGATAATTGCCCAGGCCTCTAATCAATCAGAGTTCTTTCTCTGACAACTTTATTTTGTTATTTATTAGTACTAGTATATTCTAGAGTCCCACTTACGAGATCAGCTATTTCATTTTTTGTTCACAACTAATTTGCATGTGTTTACATCATCCCACACTTTAGAAAACACTCTCCATCTTTCCATTCATAAGACCTCTGCCTCTTTCCTCCCTGTAGTTTGTTTCAGCTGGCTTGGAACAAAAAAAGCAGCTCATTAGTCTGTGAAATCCAGTGTCAGATGGAAATGTGAGTCTCACCTAACACACCAGAGTAATTCCTCTGCTTAAAAAGGAAGTTCATTGGTCTAAAGTGGTGCAGTGAAAGGAATGCCTTTGCTTAATGTTCAATGTACATTTATAACATATGTTCAATTTTCCTGTTGCAATGACTTGCTTTTGATAGCAGGAAAGGAGCATTGACTGGTGGATTTAGTGCAACAGCCTCATAGTAGAAAAATCTGCAAAAGGGCTCTGTGAAACCAGATCCACATAGACAAAGAAGTACTCAATTCTTTGGTGTGTATGCTCTGTGGGATTTCTCACTCTACAGGACATTCCTGAGTGGCTCTTGCTTAGCAAGAGGACTTAAACACTTGGGGTGGCCTCATGGCATCACAGTTAAGTTTTACCCTCACTGATAAAAATATATCTTTATACTAATCCATAGCAGCCACAGGAGCAGAATCAAAATTCTTTGAACACAGAGGAATTCAATACTTATCCAATTTCCACTACCTAGTCTCATTGCAAGAACAGATCTCACTACGTTCAGAAGCCTGAAGCAGTTTTAGGCTGAGCAGCAAATTGCTCAAAGTCATAGTCTGAGTTTTCACTTTTCATATTCATTTGTCTTTTACTTCCGCCACAATCTGCAACATTTCCAAACACAATCCCAGTGGAGCAGAAATATATTATCTGTAGAAAGTTTTGTTTTAGAAACATCTCATTGCCGGTGCAACTTCATTAAAAGTGAGCCAACTAATCCCACTTGACTTGATGAATAGAAATTAATGTCAACCTATCAAAGATTCACCAGCTACACAGAATGCAGAATCAGAGAGTACCACAATAATCACAAAGATGACTTTCAAATACAGATAACAGACATGTTGTGGGGGGGGTTATGATTTTAATTCAGTCTTAGGGTCATTCCATCATGTTTTTCTGGACACAGTTCTTTTTCTTTGTCCTAACTCTGCATCAGTTCTTAAAATTGCACACTTCAAACTCAATTCTAGCAGCATAATATAAATTACCACAATTTATGGCATCTTCTCTTCAAATAAAGGTTAAGATACAGAGGGTTTGGTAAAGTTCAGTTAACATTTCACAATAGTGATTGCATATACTGAAAAAGTTATAGTGAAAAGGCCCAATTCAGCTTATGCTTCATGAAGTCTCACCAAATTCAGTGACTGCATTAAATGAAAGCCAGGGCAGAATCTGAGCTCCAAATAACAATTTTCCTGGAAGCCTGAAAAAAAGATTTGCCTTCAAAAGTAAATTACAACAATTTTTCTGTCTGCTCTTAAGCTCCTGCTCTCAAATCTTGGCTTTTTCATACAATAAAAAAAAATATTAAGGCAATCCAAATGGAAAAAATATGGAAAACCTAACTTGATAGAATGCACAGATGTCTCACAATAAAAACCTTTCTTTCCATATTTTAATGTAATATAAATATACAAGTCACTTTATTTTGGCTACTTTAAAACATGGCTCTGCCACAACATGATTTCAGTATTCAAATATCTGCTACCACAGCACAATTTTTTGCAAGTCTACTCTTGGATACTACAGCTAATGATATATGTTGGAAATACTGCAAAAATAACCTCTTATTTAAAACCCTTATTGATTAAGTCATTATTGAGGTCATTAAATAACAGAGGAAAATAATTTGTTTGGAACAGATTATAATGAACAGCAGTTACTGTAATATGTTGGTTCTGAAAGAAATATTCTTTGGAACTAAATGTCTTTTTTATAAGTCAAGGTAAAAGAGGGAAAAGGAACTGGGATTTCTACCAAACCACTAGAACTAAATGGAAAATTTTTACTTCAAATAGTTGGAAACTGCTGACAAGACAACTTACCTACTAAGGGAAATTGGACATTTTATATGTTACTCTGCAGCAGAGAACATTTCTTCAACATAACACGCTAACTTGATTTGCACCTCACGTGTGAGGTGGAAGTTCACGCTCAGCTTTTTTCTGCTCCATTTGATCTCCCACAGTGTTTGGTTTTTTTTTTTAAATTTATTATTAGGAGAACACCTATGTTTAAGATGCACTCCCACTGTAAGTCTTAAACTGTTAGGATTTCATGAAATAATATCAATGCTTCTACACTCAGAGTCAAGAAACACATTTATCCTTCACAATAACAATGGGATAATGTGGCCACTAACAAACATACAATGAGACCTATGAAATATTCTTCCCTGGGATTAAAACAAAATACCTAGGAATAAGGAGGAAGTGTTTCAGGGGCATAGGAACAAGGGAAGAAGCCAATGAGGTCTTAACAGCTTTTTGAGGGAAGCTTCTTGTGTCTCCCTAAACCAGGAATGCTCCACGGAGTCTCCACACCTAGGTAACTTGCTTATATTTCATGTACACACAAAAATCTTCAACTGTAACACCTGAACCCTGTTGGTTTTTTTTTGTCTTTGGTCAATGTGTTCAGAAATTCTTGTTGAACGTCCACTTCATGCCTGCTTGTTTAAACAGGACAGTTAAGGAGCATGGAGTGACAATGCACATCATAAGAAAGAAAAGTACTGTCTGGCTAGCAAAGAACTCCTGCTTTTCCTTGACTGGAAATGGAAGCCAATGTGTGTTCATCACCTCTTACAGACCCCAAGACATCAGCAAACAAAGACAGAGCTGTTTTTTTTAAATTATTCCCTAACAGGCATGAGTCCTATGATGCTCTGGAGCATCAAACCAGCTGGTGTAAGCACAGCTGCAAGCCATGGTGAGTATGTACACAGGAAAACAAAGGGCTTGCATGGACAGGTTAAACCCTTGCCTGGGAGAGCAAGCCAGGCACCAGCTTCAGGCCATCAGATTCACTTTGGCAGTTTTTATCTCAGAGCACGTTTCACTGCCTGCAGTCCCCTGTACAACTTTACCATCGCTTAGAGCAGACACACTTTGAAAAATTCACTTGGTAACCTTCAGTCAGGTGCTTTTATACCCTATTCTGGACTTCTGAAATGTCCAGTTTCTATATTAAGTTTTTCCACTGTAGTGTGCCAGAGACACAATATGATATTAAAGCAGTTTCCCTCTGTCCACTTGGCTTACTTCCCGTAGCTCTCCAGCAATCACAGTTGTTATTGAACACAAGACTGAATCAGCTAAAATTAAAATGTTGACATTCATAAAAATCAAATGTCCTTATTCAAATGGCCTTTCCCCTCAGAGACATTTGTACAACTCCAGCTGATCTCAGTGGGATTTTTACAAGCAATTTGGGCCCAAATTTTAAACAGCTTTCTGTATGTGTTTTTTTAGAACCAGGTTTCAAAATCAATCTGCAGTGGTAAATTTTGTGCAGAGCTATGTTTCATTTAAGTTAAACATAGGATTTCTGTAAGCTAGCATCCTAAAATGTCAGAATCAATTAAATAACCCTTCACTTTTAGAAGAATAGACCAAAATGTTCCGGCCTGAGTCCTGCCTTGGTTACAATGGGCAAAAGGAGAATCCCATAGTGTCAGGAGTATCCCATTGTGTCAGCAGGCTAGATTGCCACAGAGAAGGATCCAAGTGCATGCATCAGATGAGATGATAGCAGATGATACTCTAGATAGTAGATGGTTCTCTAATGGTCAAACTCCTCTCGGCACTGGAGGAGGCAGCCATTTGGGTGGGCTGATATCCCTCCCTCCACGACATAAAGTGGTTAGCAACCAGCCCTCAGGCAAGCAGAGAGGGGATGTGTCCATGGTGCAGGGGAAAGCCAAAGACTTACTACACAGAGGCAACCTCACATGACCCCATGAAAGCAGATTTCTTCTCTTCTGCAGAAAGGCAAGAAGATGCCAACCAAGAGTTCTAACCCAAAACAATGGTTAGAGGAACTTTAGCCAGAGCACTC